CCCAAGAAAAAGTAATGTGCGATATTGCCATTCAGGGCATGTAAGGTAAAGTACCCTCTATTCGGACACATAATATAAGGTAATCCACTATTTTTAAATTCACAAAGAAATTAGCTGTTTTTGCGAAAAAGGTGGTTGACATATAGATAATAAAGTAATTTTTCTGTCACTTAAAAAAAAAAGTTCTTTGTGACCGTGTGATCATTGTTTAAAATAAATATATAGATTCAGTCTCAAAACCCCTATATTCAGACAATGCATTTTTAAATAGTCCGAATATAGGTCCCGTTACGACGTATAGGGACCATAATCCGGACTGTCGTGAACATTGAGAAAATGAGGTTATGGCAGATCTTTATGTACAGTTATATTTTACTTGAATGGCTTTAATTTGTTAAACAAATGCAAAAAACAAATTATTATTGTATTTTACTACATAGTAAAACCATTTCTTTGCACTTGTAAGCAAGTGAATTGCTGGGTTATGTGTGTCCGAATATGGGGTACAGTTTGAACCGTAGTATCTAATTTCCGGACAGCAGCCAAACACAAAAAACCTCGATTTGCAAGAAAAAACATTTCTTTTAATGAATCATCAAATTAATTCGACGTATGTTGTAACTATCCTAAATCAATTCGATACTGTAGATTACAAATAAATTTTTTCATTCAGAAATTGGAAAAAAAATTATGTAATTATCACTGCTGTCCGGATATAGGTCCGAACAACACTTTTGTCCGAATACAGGGTACTTTACCTTACCTGGAAAGAATCATTTATACTTGGGTGTACTTGGTGCTGACATAGTCTGACATAGCGTTGTCTTGCAGTAACTGCTGAGAGTATTTAGTTCAGCCTTTCTATGAGGTTTATTACAAACCACATAAATATAAGTATCTTTTAAGTGCCTTTGCCATGCATATGCCTGGTATGTATATGAGAAACGACGGAAAAACAAACAGCTGAGGTGTACCTGGTCTTGATGTCTTGATGAAATTACTTCTTCGTATTTTACATTTTTGATTATTAAAAGAGATATTGGCTTATCTAATAAAAGATAATGAGATTAATCTAAAGCTACTACCTACAGTAAGAAGTATAACCAATTCATAAGTGAGCTTAGCTGAATCTAAAGACCCCAAAGGTTGCCACTTCTTGAGTTGGTTTGATACAGGATCTACATTCCAGATTATCTCGTATATAGGTGCTGAAGGACTTTGGCTGAAGACATTTCTTAGAAATCTAGTTATTCTCCTTAAGTTAAAAAAAGTATCTTCAGTAATGAGGTTGACTAATTTTCTATCTGGTTTTAGTGTACAGTAGTCGGCTACCTTGTCAAACAACAAAAAGACCACCATTAATTAAGAGTGAAGTTGTACTATTATTATATCTACAAGATAACCCTTTATACCTCTTCTCTTCTAAGCCTTACTGACACAAGTGTGATTGTCAACAAAAGGTGCCATGTGGACCTGCAAGATGACAAACGCGTATTGGTGGATGATTTAAGGTCTATTGGCTTAGCAATCGGCATATGAGCTAAAACTAAGACACCAAAACGACTGGAATGACCTGAATCTTTATTTTACCGATCTTTGGTAAGATTCTAGGAATAAGAGAAGCAAGTGGGAATGCGTACCAAAAAACTTCTTCCAGCTGATCGTCTATGCATCAATAAATAATGCCTCTGGATCTCTTTTACGTATTATATTGCCGTTGGACCGTAAAACAAAGAGATATATTTGGCTGTCACCCAGAAAAGCTAAAATCTCAATGATCAAACTCAATATCTAGTATTCCCAGCCCTATTCCCATCCCAAATATCCTTAGTTAACGATTTAAAATAAGGAAATTTGACACCCCCTTGCCAGCTAGAGACTTTATGGCAAAAAAGGCAGCAAGCAACTTTTAAATATTTACGTGGGAAATTCTTCCTTTTTTCCCTATAAGTAGAAGCCTCTAGCAATCTTTCTGCCATATACCACTCCCTATAAAGACAAGTCTAGGAAAAATTTTTTTTTAGAATTTAAAAATAATGGACGGTATTTTATGATATTCCCTCAACCTACACTGGTCTTCTTTTATTTGTTGTGGAAGTGTTATTGAGGAATAAAAGTTTGATATTCTATCTTCCTATCCCAGAAACTTACATCTTTTAAAATTTTTGTAAAGTAACCAACCGTAGTTTACTACTAGGCATGCTGATACTAATTTTCTAGTAAGCTTTGGAAGGTCTCTCAAAGAGAACTCTTTGGTTTTTAAGATTACTGATACGTGCTTTCTTATACTGTTTTTTCTCTCTTCAGTAAGCGGTATTATCATTGGTGAAAAATTAATGACCTTCCCAATAATCTTACACTCCTTTCTAGGTATCTGAAGGCTTTCGTAGCCATTGATAATGAAACTTAGGCTGTGAAAGGAGATTGACTGTACTGTCAAGATTTTTAAGGCAAGATTCTTGAGTTGAGCTGAACAACAAGATGTTGTCTATTATATGAATGAATTGAGACATCTTAATCTTAATGAAGCTATGATCAGCTTTCCAGTTGCAAAAGGACAAAGGACAAATTAAGTCAAATAGTATTAATTTTCCCTGACTTTCCCGTGACCTTTCCATAAATAAACTTAAATTTAAGAACTAAATCCTCAAAAACTTTGCTTTAACTTATAAACTTGACTTTAACAAAAGATTCTATTTTTAAGGTAACACAGCCTTGTACATTGCAAATAAATTAATACCATATTTACAGCAGTGACATATTTTAATTGTATTATTAGTCGTATGCATCGTATATTGGTATTGATTACATTATAATTTACATGTGAGTGTGAAAGAGACAACGATAGAAAACTGTCTTCCTCACACTAAAATGACAATTATTACATGACCAATGCGCTAGAGACTAAACGCTGGATTCTAGCATCTATGAAAATGGATCGTTACAGGGGTGTATTCAGAGTGACCTAGTTCACCTACTGAAATAATTAGTCATTCAAAAGGCATATGTATACAGATAGTTAAGTTCTTATCGAAAGATTTTTTTTTTTTAACATATAATCATGATAAATGTTCCAGGTTCATGATGTAATCCCATGACTTTTCATGACCTTTCCAGATAAAAAAAAGCTCTATGAATTTTTCATGATTTTTAGGATACCCTGTGAAAAAATAATCTGTGATACTTTTCCAGATTGCTAAAAACCTAAACAGTCGACCCAAATATTTTACTTTATCTACTGGTTCCAATATCTGTAATGGCTCGCCTGACATCTTCTGACCGACTCTGACTAAATGTACCTTTTGCTGTAATGCTGTTTGGACTTCCCTTGTGAGAGATGATCTTGACTGACTTCTCTTATAGTTTGACAAACCTCCCTCTCTCCCCTGATAAACCCCTTTCGTTTAAAGAATTATGTGAGTAAGATATTAATCGGGCTTGTTTCGCCCTTATCTACTTAACAAGCTTAGCTATTGCATGAAATGCTGTGACTCTTACAGACAACCTAAACCCGAAAAGATAGCCATCCAGTTGGATATTTTTTAGTAGACATTTCATCGTCTGTTTAAAACATGGATCTATGAATGCTCTTCTAGACAGGGAAGCTTGAAAAAATATCTTAGCAAGTACTTTAACCGCATTCGAAAAATTTTGTAGCATAATGTCTCTGTCTAAAGGCTCCTTATTGTCTCTAAAAATACTTACAAAGGTTTTTGCTATACCAGACAGCGTTGGACGAGCAAGATTCAGATTATCTGCAAAAAATTTGTCACACTTGACTACCTGGAGATAAATTCTGGGGCAACTGTAACAGATGTCTACTCCGTCTTATTCCCCAACCTATGTAATTCGATAGCTAAGAGGAAATTTTAACATCATTATATTGTTAACAATATAACTAATTCAGAATGTTGTTACAGATTCTAAAAAAATCTACTTTTTACTACAATTCATATTCATTTACTGCAATCGTTAAAACTAACGTGATAACGAATCCTCACAGGATTAACGTTACTTTGACGACAAACATTTATGTAATTTTTTTAAATCTGTATTCTTATTCCTTTTATATAAATTTTTAAAGTTATTGGGTTTGATATAAGGACATCATTTATTGGCGATCTCGTATTTTACGAACTTTCGATCTGTATTTTTTATCAAAAAAAAAAAAAGGAAAACATTTCGAGATTAAAATCCAAGCAACAATCTCTAAAATAAAGACTTATAAAATTTTGAAAATATAGATTACCAAATCAGAATATCCTATCTGAGATTAATACTAGTTTTACAATAAAATTACCTAATTACAATAGGAAACAATGACTTATGTCTGAATATTTAGCATACGTATAACGTGTTTGAACTTGTTAGTCCAAACGCTTTGAGTCACCACATTTTAGATTAGACTTATAATAAAACAAAATTATAGGTACATGTGAAGGGGAATAATAATAATGATTTCAATTCTATAACTAAACTTCGATAATCAAGCATGAATTAAAGTCTATTAGGTAAGCATTGAACTGTATTTTCATTGTGAACAATTTTAAGTTACTACTATTATTACGTTAATAATTTTTTGAGACTCTGTATTTGTAAAAGCACTCTACAGAATCAGTAAACCTTGCTTATTCAGGAAGAAAAACCAATTACAACAATAGACAGAACCACTTGCATTTAAGTCTGCTTAATAAGTTACTATAAACATAAATTCTTACACAAGAAAATACTCGTTTATTAATTACTAATGAATAACTATTAAAGACTTTAGATAAAATAACCTATTCATCAAATCTATCTCATATTTTTTAACTATTAATAATTCAAGAAAATATTTGCAAATATTTATTTACTATTCATCAGAAATCTGAAGCCATCGTTAAAAAATAATTAAGAAAGCACTCGTAGTTCGTTCTATTCATATTTTAGCTGATAAAATTAAATTATTCAAAAAGATATTGGTACCTGTTGTTTACTAGCAGATTGAAGCAATTACATACCGTTTCAGATAATTTTTCGAAAGCTTCAAGAGTACGTAGTTTATCTAATGTCTCATTTTCCTGTGGCCCAAAAATTTTTGGAAAATATTCTGGTAGCAATCGACCAAGAGCCAAGTTTGCATCAGTTACGGTAAGAGGCCCACCTTTTTTATAACATGTTGGGCCTGGATGAGCTCCAGCACTTTCCGGTCCAACCTCAAATAAACCTGACCGAAAGAACAGCATTGATCCACCTCCTGCTGCAACTGTATTTATGTCAAGCTGAGGAAGCAAAAAAAAAACATAAAAATAAATTATTCTCACGTCAATCCGTAAAATGCTCTTGCTTGCACTTTTTTAAATGTAACAAAAATTTCTCGAACATATAGCTTAGTGACGTATTACATAATTTTATAAGCTCTTAACAACAGAGGAACAAACATTTTTCAGTTTATGACTGGTGTATGGCTTGTGGTATAACAATCATGGAAATCTACTTAAACCAAAAAAAAAAATGAAATACAGTACAATAAATTTTATTCTTACAAGAAATAATAACCACTATACCATAAATTTTTTGCTGTAGCAATGTTTTCTACAATAAGAAGTATAAAATTTTAAAGGTTGCTCATAAAACTATGGCCAATAATCCAATGATACTATACAAAGAAAAGGGCGTAGAAGAGAACATTATTATAAAATTAAAACGTACATCCATTGAGAATACTCAAGTGTAATCGAAGAAAAAGAAAATTGCAAGAATTTTCAACCTTTGGTAAAGGTCATTATTAAGTTAATCAACAAGTTAACTTTAAAAACAGTGAAAATATTATTTGAAACAAAAAAAGTTTACTAAGAATATTCTTATTGAATTGAGAATAAATATATACAACACAGCATTATAAAAGTGTAGGTAAAAAAAAGACACTGTGATATTTTAAAATTTTTTTTACTAGTAAACAAAACTAACGGAAATCAAGATGCTTTCAAATAACAAATGGTGTCAGGAAAATTGTAAGAAACTTAGACTTTGTAACGTCATAAGCCCTTTACTCCAGAATTGCAAAACGCTCTAGCTTAGTCAGGTTTTATTGGTGAGAGGGCATCGTTTAACATTGATGACACTTAAAGTTTTTTGTAGCACTCTCCAATTATAAAGTCTGTAGAAATTATTTTTTTGGGGGAGCTAGATTCTTGGAACTAGCGATGTCAGGCTACAAACTTATAAACGATGTAAAATAACTAAATTTAAATTGCCATACTATCAAGTTCGAGGTGATTTAGTTTTAAAGCACAAGTCTTTAGAATGATCTGATACTTTGTAAAGTGTTTTATTCAATCAAAGCTCAGTACAGAGCAAAATAAGAAGTGGAATTGCAAGATTAAATTGCAAGGGAAAGCTTCTTTAAGTAAACCTGTGAAAATAATCATTTGCAGAAAATAGTGAGTTTTCTTTAAAAAAGAATTAACGTTTTGTACGTGTACCTTGCATCTGTAACTTATTCTAAGCTCCATTATTTTATTAAAGTTTTTATTTTCGACATCATATACTAAAACATTTTTCGTAGGTAAATACTTAGTTTAATAGTAAAAAAAAAAAATCTTTTTGACTGAAAATATTTTTTTTTATACTAAGACTGAATTTATAAATAGAAATAGTTCGTTAAAAAAAAAAAACTTTCTAGTACATCGAACGTAACACCAATCTAAGTGTACCCTATTCGTAATAAAAATCTTTTAGTATATAGAGTATAGTCTCTTATAGTTCCGTCAAAAAATGAAGCAATTTATAATATTACGTTAACAGTAGGAAAATAAAATTATAAAAGTTTTTAAAACTCACCTGAGGAGCCTGTATAGTGACCCCAGCCATGGTACTTTCATAAACGTGCTCAAAACTGCCACTATAACGGCTAACATCCGTTGAAGTTCCACCCATGTCAAAACCAATCACTGGTAATTGAGCTTCCTTTTCATAAGTGGTCATTGCATAGCCAACAACACCACCAGCGGGTCCAGATAAGATTGCTCTCGAGCCATTAAAACTGAAATTTATTGACATAGTATTTATCACTCAGAGTTTTTACTAACATTCCTCGCGATCATGCTGATTGAAATTTTACAGTAAATCATATCCATACTTAAAAATTTCTATCAAAAATTATTATATTTATTAGACAAAGAGCAGACTGTCGGTTTTATTAATACTCCTTTTTTTTTTTAATTTTCAATCTTTATCATTGGACTAACAATTGTTTTTTAAATTGAAACAATTTTTAAGATTAAGTAGTAATGTAAGCCTAAATTAACGTGATCATGAAATAAAATAAAAAAATATCGCGATAGTAAAATTTAAATCTTACATCAAACTTTACTTGTAGTACTACAATCATTAATGAAAATTTTTTGTCCTATCACTTTATACAATTCTAGAACTCTTCGAGTTTTGAATCTAATATAGTTTTACTTACACAAAACGCACACTTTACTGATTCAACCGCACCAGCCCGCACTTAATGATCATAAATATGCATAATAAATTAATTTTAAGAGCATACATACATACATATATATAAATTTAGTTATAGTGAAATTATCCGAATATTTCAGATAAAAATTGTACAGTTGAAAACTTTCTCTTTTTTCTAGTCACAATCAGCCTATAAATTTATAAAAGTAAATAAGAATCATTTCATATAAAAAAATATAGTTGATTCTAAATTTTGCATGGGTTTCCTGGGCAATAATGAGTTTCCAGTACTTTATCACCTTCAAATTTTATTTGGAAAAAAATTGTTACGTGTATATGTCTAACCTGAAACTACGTAATATCTTATAAGAAGGACATTATAGGTTTTTACTACAACCGTCATTGTTTCCTTAACTTTTGATGTATGTAAATTAGTATGTACACTATGTACTCATTCTTTATTTATCATGCGTTTTTTTTTTTTTTTTTATACATATATATTTTACAACCACTTCTGAGAACTGTGCCCGAATAGACTCTACAAGGCTGTGTCTCTATGCGTATATAATATCATCATTGGCACAGTGAAAAATCGCCTCAGATTTAATTGTAATATCAATCACTTTACATATTCTTTTACATAGATTCCGAACCATCAAACCACATTTGAAATACGCACATGAGAAAATAGATTCTCTGAGGTGCAAGCCACGTGAGTAAAGATCGAGACTCGAATCCGATGAACCTGAGTTACCAGGCTCGCTGAACTACGAAAACTGCAGCTTTAACCACTGTACTACCATGGTCCCTCTTTATTGATGCATAGAAAAGTCTTTTTTTCTGTCTCTCTCTCTTTCTTGAATTAAATTCTTTATATTGAAAGATTTTTCGATTATGTATTTTAAACTTTATCGTGACATATATTACCTATTTAGCTATAGTGAATCTAGATAAAATGTGATACTTGTTACTCAAATCATGATACACAATTTCCTCAGATTATTCATCAACTTTACAGACTTTAGTCAAATTAAAAAATGTTTTTACAAAATAAATAATGTCTCATAACTGTTAATGTTGATCAAAGAATTATACTTTTCCTCAAAACAGTTAAACAGCACTGTATCTTTTATCCGTCCTCATCTTCGATTCACTCTGTCCTTGTATTTTGGTGCATCCATATCAGTAACTACACTCATGATGTAAAAAAGATGTGTCTACGATCAACGAATTGTGGTTGACTAGTGATCACTCATTAATTTTTTTGTATTATGACTTCGCCACTGTTTTGTTCAATACTTTTTTTAATCTTTATAAGTTTCATATTCTGTACTTGTATCTTTGTCGTTGAGTCTTTGCTTGGATGTCTTTTGCTCCTATTCTTCTCTAAACTTTTGACTATATTTTTTCAAACACAAATAAATATTCGTCCTTATTCTCCTTGTATTTATTGTTCTAGTATTTTTTATTTATTTCATCGTAGACCCTTCCTTCTTTGTGACTTTGATCTTGTCATCAGATTTATGTTTCTCAATCATCATACCACTGGTTTTTAGGATATATTTTTCTTTTTTTATATCTTTTTAAATCTATCTTTTTTAGTTTTTTATTAGTCTGTGTCACTGTACATCATTCTGTAGAAAAATTGCCTTTATCTTATGTCTTCTTACAAGCTCAATATTAGTATCAAATGTCTCGTTTTCGTACGTTTGATTTTTCAATACATTCATCTAATGTATTTCCTCTCTACTAGTACTTAAATTTTCCAGTCAGCTTTCTCTGTATCGTACATTTATTGTTTCATTGCTGTTTCCATTTTTCTAACCAAAACTTCTTACTAAGAGCTTTGTTTCAACTGTGTCGCATCCTAATCTAATACCCTATATGTCTTATAATTTCTGTATCTTAGTCACATATTATAGAGCTTGATTAAATTTTCTGTTACTTGCCTCTAAGTTGTATTTTTTTACCTCATTCCAACTAACAGAAGTGTTGCGAAGTAATAATTGTAATACGTTCGCCTACTTTTTTTTATTAAAGATTTTAATCTCGAAAGCTACTCTTACACGAAGAGAGTAGCCGTGGAAGGCCGTGTCACGACCGGTCGAGTAAGGGCCGGGCGGAGGCACCTTTTTCCTCTCACCGAACTTATTTTTAGTTCGAAAAAAAGGGGAGTTACGGAACGAAAAAAAAATGTTGTTCTCTCGTAGACGGTTGGCCAGGAGTTAGAGTTTGAGATGGAATTTTATTTTTATTTCAAGAGAAACCACGATTCTCTTTAAATAATTTACTCTCGTTGATAATTTGAAAAAGTAGGAGAACGTAAAATCGAATATCATGGTTCCGTTGTCATGTCAACAAAAATTAATTATGATTTGTCTTTTGTTTTTTGCGTTACGAATGACTGCTGCGTATTTTGTTTGCAGTCTTGATTTGGCTTACCGAGCCTGAGCTGTTAGCGTTTGAAAAGAAAAGTTTTTCATCTGTTTAAAAATAAAAATATTTTTTTCATCTGAAAAAATCGTCGTTATCTTTCGATTTTAAGCTTTTTTAGTCGAAACAAAAAGTATATTTCATTCCTATTTCTATTTTATATTCGAATTTTTATGTCATTAAATAGGATTTTCATTTATTCAATGGGACCTTTAAAACTGTTCTTTCTTTCGATTTCATATCAGTGTGTCTTTGTTTTTATGTGTACGCCCCATATTTTAAGACTTTGATATATCTGAGTATTTTCTCTCTATATACAAATAAATGTCTCAGTGTTCTTGTTATTTTATCTTAGTTTTATTGTATTTATTACTCAATTTGTTTTAATTTTGTATAATCTTTTTCTTTAATTTATTTCTTATCTTTATGTTTATGTTAGAGTTTTAGTTTTTTTATTCATTTTGAGTCTTATGAATTTCCAATCAGTGCCCATCCCTGTTTTCAAACTTAAGCAACAATCTCTAAAATAAAGACTTATAAAATTTTGAAAATATAGATTACCAAATCAGAATATCCTATCTGAGATTAATACTAGTTTTACAATAAAATTACCTAATTACAATAGGAAACAATGACTTATGTCTGAATATTTAGCATACGTATAACGTGTTTGAACTTGTTAGTCCAAACGCTTTGAGTCACCACATTTTAGATTAGACTTATAATAAAACAAAATTATAGGTACATGTGAAGGGGAATAATAATAATGATTTCAATTCTATAACTAAACTTCGATAATCAAGCATGAATTAAAGTCTATTAGGTAAGCATTGAACTGTATTTTCATTGTGAACAATTTTAAGTTACTACTATTATTACGTTAATAATTTTTTGAGACTCTGTATTTGTAAAAGCACTCTACAGAATCAGTAAACCTTGCTTATTCAGGAAGAAAAACCAATTACAACAATAGACAGAACCACTTGCATTTAAGTCTGCTTAATAAGTTACTATAAACATAAATTCTTACACAAGAAAATACTCGTTTATTAATTACTAATGAATAACTATTAAAGACTTTAGATAAAATAACCTATTCATCAAATCTATCTCATATTTTTTAACTATTAATAATTCAAGAAAATATTTGCAAATATTTATTTACTATTCATCAGAAATCTGAAGCCATCGTTAAAAAATAATTAAGAAAGCACTCGTAGTTCGTTCTATTCATATTTTAGCTGATAAAATTAAATTATTCAAAAAGATATTGGTACCTGTTGTTTACTAGCAGATTGAAGCAATTACATACCGTTTCAGATAATTTTTCGAAAGCTTCAAGAGTACGTAGTTTATCTAATGTCTCATTTTCCTGTGGCCCAAAAATTTTTGGAAAATATTCTGGTAGCAATCGACCAAGAGCCAAGTTTGCATCAGTTACGGTAAGAGGCCCACCTTTTTTATAACATGTTGGGCCTGGATGAGCTCCAGCACTTTCCGGTCCAACCTCAAATAAACCTGACCGAAAGAACAGCATTGATCCACCTCCTGCTGCAACTGTATTTATGTCAAGCTGAGGAAGCAAAAAAAAAACATAAAAATAAATTATTCTCACGTCAATCCGTAAAATGCTCTTGCTTGCACTTTTTTAAATGTAACAAAAATTTCTCGAACATATAGCTTAGTGACGTATTACATAATTTTATAAGCTCTTAACAACAGAGGAACAAACANTATTGATGATTTAAGATTAGTGTTATTCTATTCATATCTCTACATTGTTGGGTTTTTTTTATCTTGGGCATCGGATTACTAGCCTTTAATTTTTATGCAGATTTTTAAATTAAGGCTACATATTATGGTAATGGTGACCTAGCAAACTAATCTCAGATGGTCCACCAGTACATAGACTCTAGCCAGTGAGATATGAGAATGGTTTATGGTCAAAAAGTATACATACATAATATGTAGTCTGCAGTGCACATGTGTACTTTCGTGCATAAACCGTTCTCATATCTCATTGCCTATAGCCTTAGTAGGAATAACGGGTACAGTTGTTGACCCCCTAATAGTGATTGACCGCCACATGCATTTTTAAATTGAGCCTTTATATATAGATATACAAATTATACAGGGGTCAATCACTACCTTAAGGTGTCGATAACTGTACCGTTTACCCCTACCAGTTGCACCATCTGAGATTAGTTTGCTAGGTCGCCATCCCCATACTCGGATCTTTGTGCATATTTTATGAAATAATTTTCATGGTATCTAGAGAAGCACATTAGTAATAATCTCCAAAAAAAATTTTCAATAAACATAGCACTTAAAGAATCTATAATATTGGACATATGATATGACGTTATTTTCTTATGTATTACTATTAGCTTTCCTATTATGTACTATATTACTTTTACTATTATCATTATTGAATGTATTGATAAACTACGGATGCTTTTTTTATGCTTAAGTTGTAATATTACAATATTACTAGTAAAACATACTCTCACTTATTTGAGAAAGTTATCTTACGTATCCATTGATGTAAGTCCACCATCACTTCTCATGAAAAGCACATTCACGTCCTTGAGATTATTTTTGAATCCAGCAGAAAAGCTCTAGATGCACAAATGCTTTGTATGGTATCGTAAATTCTACATATCTTTAGGCATAAATAATCTCAAATATGAGAAATAACTTACTTTTAAATAGTTTTTGATATGTGGCGTCAAATAAGCGTCAGCAGATACTGTAAAACCACGAGGAACAATTCTTATCATTGGCATGACTTCATGAGACAAAGATACTTGTAGAAATCCTATTTCCCTGGCTATTTCACCAATGCGAATTTCATGCTCAGCATACCTGTAAAATGATTTAAGTATTTTTACTTGTAAGAAGTAAATAATTACCAACTGCAAGGGCTGTCGTTTTGTAAAATTTCCACATGTACAAATGTAAAAAATAAATTATGCAGTTTCCAAATATTTATAAAAATATCTTACGTGTAACTATGCATAAGGACTACAGCTAAGCTCTCAATTCCTTTTTGTTTAAGATTTTTCAAGTCTTGCTTTATTATGTCCTCATCCAAATCTTTAATAATGAATAGATCTTCTCCTGTGGAACCTTTAACTTTTGTCCAAGATTGTTTGTTAATTTGACATCTATCTGATAATGCAGGTACAACTCGAACTTGTACACTAATAACTTCAGAATACAATACTTCAGGTTTTACGATTTCCTGTAACATTATTCAGTGTGTAACCATGTTCCCCTTTATATCCATAAGAAGATTTGATGGTTATGAGAGTAAGTACATATTAAAGCATGATCTTTCTATTTACAAGTATTACGTGAATTTATTTTTTTACAATTATTTTCAAATTTACTCAAATCATAAAATAGCTAAATACCTAACATGGGGGAAGTAGGTAACGCAGTCGGAAGAATTGTTTTAATAAAAAATAGTTGTAACTTACTAAGTCAAAGATATTAGGTCGAGCCTGATTTCCTATGTGTAATAGATCCTCAAAACCTTCATTTATTATTAAAGCCATTTTAGCGCCCTTTCTTTCCAAAAGAGCATTCGTAGCAACAGTGGTCCCCATGCGAATCCATTCAATCAGCGACGTATCAATTTTACCTTTCATCGGTATACCCGTTTCCTAATTTTATGAACAAAAATAAAAACTATTTATCCGTCTGATCTCAAAACGTTGTTCGTAATTGTTTGTGATGTTTTTATAGATGGCTTTGATTTAGTGATGCTTTTACATTATGAGTTTTTTTTTTTTTTTTGTTTAAGCACACATTAAAACAAATTTCACTGTACAAACCAAGTTTCAATTATATTTAAGGAAACTTATGTGCTTTACCAACGATTCAAAAAAAGTAATTTTTCATCGTAATTGAATTTGATGATAACCTCTTCTAAAATTCGTCGGATCCCTTCTCGTGGAGCGTCATCGTAATTTGCAGGATCAACAGATAGAAGTTTCATTACACGAATTTTTCCATTTGGACACTGTGCGTAAACATCAGTGAATGTACCTCCTCGATCGATAGCAAATCGAAAACGAGTATTTGGATTCTTTTTATCATCTGAAAATTAACGTGAAAAAATTAGTTTGTTTTTTGTTCTCATTTTATTTATTATAATCATCCCGTATGATTTCAGAAAAAACAGTTGCTTTAAGGAAGTTCACTCGCTAAAAAAATTAACGTCAGTATATTGATATGCTTTAAACAGAGATGAATTAGTGTATGAAAAACCTTTTTTTTAACCAGTCTCTTTATAGCTTATAAAGTGAGATATTGATAATTTTATTTTTGAACTTTTAACGTACAGTCTTCTGAGAATCAGTACTGTTTGCATAACCTCCAATATCTGGATAATCTACGTCAAGATTTGATTGGAAATTTTTTTGAAAATAGCTAAAAACTTGGTGATAAAGTATTTATAATCTCATCTTCATTGATGGCTTATGGAATGGGTAATAAATAAGTAAATAAAATAATTTTCCTGTAACAGCTACTGTTAGCACGTCACGTTATATCTTACTAATATATAAAGCAGAAGCGCTAAAACCGTTGTAATCGCTAACCGCGAAAACTACTGAACTGATTTTGTTGAAATTTTGCACACTGATTCATAATACTTCCTAGATGGTTTTAGCATAGTTTTTATCTTAAAAAATTTAATAACGATAGCAATAAATGAGCTCAAAGTTTTGCAAAAATATGCCAGCTTTTCTCTTTAGTTCAGTAAGATCCGCTAGGTGGCGTCGACATAAAATCGAAGCTACCTGCAACATAATTGAATAAGTGTGGTTATAATAGGCTGGAGCGTCTCCATAGTGTTGTACTCGAGTTTCGGCAACTCAACGACCTGCATAGAGAATGCTGATGATAGTCTTGCAGCTGGGTATCCCGGTTACGGACGACTCTCTTCTCTAAGGGGGAAAGGACCTAGGTGTCCATTTACCCTGAAACTCGATGAGTGCGATCAAAAAAAAAAAAAACTAATTCCAACCGATGCCATCTCTGCCACAATACCAGGAGACACATGTAGCCACAGCACAATCTGGTTCAACTCATCAGAGTTGTGAGGGAGTCCCACCATCCCACCTGGTGCAATTAGAGAATTTGTGGTTACAAATGTAAGCAAGGGAAAACAGCTCTGAGCTCTGAGGGGCATGGGCAGCCACAACGGCTACCTTCTTGGTCGTCGCGTCCCCAATGCGCTTACCCACATGTTCCCGTCTAACGATGAGCGGTTGGTTATCCGGGGAACGACCCGAGACGAGATATTCTTTGGTCAGCAGCGTACCTTCCTCCATCACAATCTCCGTACATCGAGACTCCCAGGGCAAGAATCAAGCAACCGTAGCCAGCTCTTCATCATCAGGAATAATAATAAAGAATAGCCTGGAAGTTTCACCACTAGCGCTTTTTAGCGCCATTATAAGTATTTACGTTCCCTACTTAACCATCAATTTCATCGGTTCTTTTTAGAATCGACCTAAGTCTAAACTACCTTGCCAACAACTACATTTTTATTATCATTTCCGGAAGCAATTCGTCGACCATCGGACGTCGAACTACCTTGCCAACAAATATATTAGAACTTCACAAAGTTGACAGAAAACACACTTTAGGAGTCACACAAATTTTAAGCATGCCAAAAGTCGCAAGAGGGTGAATCGGAAGAAAAACTTCAAGTATATCCAATAAATACAATTTTACTTAGGCGTCAAGAAACTAAAGCAGAAAATTTATCGAGATTGAAACAGCAGTGTCAAAATCGACAACTAAAGAGTCCATTACGTGAGAGATCAGCTTTTCATTGTACCCTCACAGCAATCTTTGAAATCTTTAAAGATCCTACTTCAGATTTTTTAATGAGTAGAAAATGTATTTGTGTTTTTGTGGCAATAAAAATGTAGGGTTTAAGGTCCAGGACTTTGTTGCTCTGGTAATAAAGTTGTGAGATATAAGAAAAAAAATTTTTTTTTAATATAAATTTTTTGGGGGTTTAAAATCTTAACAGCTTTAAAAAATAGCCGTTTTCGTGAATTACACGGGAGAAACTGTAAATCAACGGCTTCTTATGGCCACCGATTATTTTATGGCATAAAGAACGCATGATACTTTTCAGCATAATAATTGTTTTGAATTTTTACACCTTATTATTTAACCAAATAAACTATATGGATTCCGAAAAAATATGTTTTTAATAAGAAGATTTTTGTTCTGAGATGTATCAGGAATATGTGTAAAATTTCTAACTGAAAATTTTTCACATTACATGTCAACACACTACGGTGTTTTATTTAGTAAGTCTCGGGCGAAGCCGAGACGGGGGGCTGCAAATCTGTATATATAGTCATACAGGTTATATACACAATTACACAGCTGATCTTATGTGTCAAAAAGGTTGGGTACGAATAAACTTCCTTAAGAAAATTTTGGGGATGACATGAACAACCCTCTTCGTATCGAAGTTAAACGGATCTAGAATTAATAAGTTGAAAAATTTCCACAAATTTTTGGGGGTCTTCTAATGCGAATAAAAAAATCAAATCATCCTAAATATTAAAATAAAAAAAGATTAGAAAGTGCAAGAAAAGAAATAGAAGAAAGTAGATAAGAAAGAAAAACATAATAGAACAAATGACAACAATAAACAAAAAATTGTCAAATCCCAATTGTTTTTTTTTGTCTATTGTGCTCCTATATAAATACAATGTTTTTTGTGGTTTTCAAAGGTTGAGTTGTGACATTATAATTTTTGAATATTTCATCAAAGTTTATTGTAATTTTTTAACGTGCAATATTATGAAATATTTATGTTGATTCTATAACAATTTACCGATAGTAAGATTTAATTGAGATTGAAAAAGAATCACGTGATCTCTCTATATAGAGTCTATGGCGAAAATTTTACCTTTCTGCCGTCTGATATGTGTACAATGTGTACATACGTAAAAAGTTAGATGTGATTCTCACAGGATATAAATAAAAATACTCGATTCATGTGGTAATATCTTTAGGATGGCATTATTATTGTATTAATATTTATTAGGCTACTCATCAATACATGGAAATAATCAAACTTAAATGTGTTGTTTACAGTTTTAATCCACGGCTCAGGTTAAAATTATTACTATTGTGTTAAATCCTGCAAGGCTTTTTTAATACGAATACAAAAAGTGCATTTAAGTAAAAAATATCAGATTTTCTTGTAATACTAAGATTTTAATAAATACATGAATTTTAGTCTTTTAGTAAAAGAAAAAGTTAAAATCAAATACAAACTCATAAAATTTCGAAAAAAATGTTTTCAAATTACAGTTTTAAGCTTTAAAATGCTTAGAGATAATTGTTTTGAAAATCACTACCATGATCAATCCTATTGTACGTCTATGTCTCTATAAATATGTTTTATCAATGCATGTTAAGTCGTACTTTCAAATATATTATTATACCTCTGTGAAGTAAGTGAATGAAATCTTTTTTCCTGCTTATGTTTTCTATTTATCATGTTTTGTTAATTATGGTTGAAAGTCACATGCAAATTCAAAGGTGGGTAATCCCAATCAGTGTTCGTCACTAATATATACAGATTGTCTTTAATTTCATTGAACTGTATTTAAAATTTTTTCTTGGTTGCTTATAAGACAATATAAATGTTAAGGTCCTTATCTTACATTATCAACCGAATATAATTTTGATGAGTGTGATAATTTGTGAACATTTAAAAACATCATAAAAAAATATAATTAGCTATCTATATAGACTCATCAAGTACTATTTGGTGGCACGTTAGTTTGGTGCATTAAAAACTTGTATGTAAAAAACAAACTAAACAATATGTCCGTTGAGTGCAAAAGTAGATGCGCAAAAAAGTGCTATACTACTACGTAGGATTAGGGGAACCTACAGTGGTAGAAGTGGTGGTTGAAAGGCCTCGCTATTACGCTCATTAAACGTTCTTGCAAAATTTTCGTGGAACTCATACCATTTCTCATTAGATAACATATAAGTCTAGAAAATCACACATAGACGAACTTTTTGTGTAATTAACATTTTTTTCTTATTAACCAAGTAAAACTATTTTTTTCCTTCGTAGTAAGTATTCATACCCACATAGTTCTCAAAATAAATGCGCCACCTGTTGACAGCGAGACAAAGCAACGCTAAATTTTCATAGAAATTCAGGCCACTTTGGACCACTGGTCCTTCTATCACTTCTATCATCGTGGGGGAGCCCCTCCCTTCATACCTCCGTCTTATAATTACCATTTTTCCCTTAAGTATATACACTTTGCTTTGGGAGTATAACTTAAGAAAAATTCGCTACAAAGAAGCTCATACTCAATCCGTTATCATAAACAAAAGTTAACTCTTACTTTTGAACTATTATCTTAACCACAATTCCAAGAAGATGTTTGTTATGCTTTGCTAAACGACAGCTTTATCTTACTTTATTATTAAATCTCATTATTCAATTATGTGTGTAGAAAGTAATATAAGGAAATCGTTTCTGGTTTATGTAATAACACTCTAAAAAACAACGTTTATATAATACAGTTTTATAAGTAATCGTTTGTAACTCACCAACTTTATGCAAGCTTGATTGTTCATATAAATTATCTTCGAAAATCATTTTATTTGACTCACTACGTAATAAATATGAAAGCACAAAAACAGCACTAATTTATAAAAATATAGATTATTTTAAATTTAATGTAAATTTTAAGAAAGCTGTCAGCTGACTCTTTCTTTTTAGATACAGTGTCTGTGTGTTGGGGTTCTCTTCAATTGATAAGCAATGTAGGTACTTGAGCATACTACATGATGCAGATTGCAGATCAGTGTAATTGCAAAAAGATGAAAAAGTAATTCGATAAGTTTTGGTAAACGTCATCTTGAATTTTATCTGTTTTTGGTAGTACACCTTTGAATATTTTAATCTTGACTAATTTAATGCACAATTTATAGTCTTGTATTAAATTGATTTGCTTATTACTTTTGTATCAACAGAAAAATGGCGGGAAGTTTAAAATAATTAATACGTATTATTGTACAAAATACAAAAAATAAAGTTCACTTTATAATAATTTTGTATACTTTTCAGTGAGCCATTCATTAAATGTTGTATGTTCCTCTGTAGACACCTAATAAATATAATTGATCTTTTTGTATAAAATGTCTATTCAAAGGAAATTTAACATAATTTACAGTAACTATATGATAAGAGAACAAATACTTTTGTGATTCATTTTTTTTTTATACAAATTAAATTTTGTACATGAAGAACACTACCGTATAAACAACGACTCGTAATCATATAGTAAACGACTCGTCACACTCACAATTTAAAATCTAAGCTTTCTTAGAATATTGCATATTATAAATCTTGACATACAAGTTAAAAAGATATTTAATGGAAGTCGACAGAGTGAGATTACATTTTAATGGATCCAATCATTTCTATTAGTGCAAAATTAAAACATCATACTATGCTTCTTATGAAACTTCTGCCAAATTGTATCCCATCTAACATTGTTCTTAGTTAAAGATAATCATAATATACTTAGGCTGGATTGAACGTATATAATATTTAGACTCAACAATAATTTTCAATAAAATACATAACAAAGCTTACGTGGTGCTATTGTCGTTCATCACCAGCAGGTGATGAGTAAATAGAAGTCATCTATAGCAACTGTGGTTAGGGACAAAAGTACATGATAAATAGTCCTATTTATGAATAATCGCATTTTTTATACTACCTAAATCCTCAGAGTCACTGTTGCTATGAAAAATCATATGCTAAAATCAGCAATCGATAACATTAATACCTACCATGATTCGCATGACTTTCACGTATCAGGTTCTTCGTCACTACATAGATAGCGCTAGTTGTTATTTTAGTTACAACATACAAGGAGAATTGGCGATTATGTATACATTACCAAAATCAATAAATACAACTTAATAATAACATACAAGAATTTAAATAAAACTGTTTTTAATCTAAAAAATCTATTAATCTATTTTTTTATAGTTTATTCTCTAAATAATTATATGATTAGTTCCTAACGCACTTTTAACAGTTGTATTGTAACTAGTAATTCATCATATTAAAAAGATCTTATCACTTGGTTTAAACCGTAACAAACGAAGAAACACAAAAAATCTACTATTCATCCTGTACATGGTTTAATACATTTCATAATACATAAACTTTTCAAAATCTTAAACATCGTAACTGATTTCCTAAGCGTGTTGATATAAAAGTGTAATAATTTGACGATGAAATACTAAATATGCATTTTTTAAATTATCCTGTTTAATTGCAAAGGGTACCTTGTAAAAATTATAGTACATATTGTTTCTCATACTTTAAGTCTGAAAATGAGCCAATGAATTATTTTTTCAAATATTATACACCATTATTATACATCTCTAAACAAATATTAGGGTCAGTTTAAAAGCTTTTTATGATTGAGCAATATTAAATAAAAAAACGTACGTCTAAGGTTGTCAAAATATCTGCAATAAGCATACAATCTTTCGTTTACAGTTTTTGAATTGGTTAGACGGTGTATTCGAATAACAAGATGGCTTCAACAATTAACTTTAATGTTCATTCAAAAAATGATCTTTTGTGCACAATATCAAATCTTCATTTTCGTATAAAGTTAGATTTGTTTAAACAAAATTATAAAACTAATGAGGCCTTTAGCCACTTAATGAATATTTTATGAACTAATTGGAACTAATGTTAGTAAATCAATATATGCCTGAGGTAATACTTTTGATACTTTAATTTCTTTTTACATATACATAAAGTTTCGGACATGTATAAAATAAGACGTTAAAATAACTTGACCCCTTGAAGGGAATCCTTAGAGAAATGTATGTATAATTTAGTTTTTTCATGTTAAACATGAGAGTTTACAAAAAATCAGTTTTGCGGATAATGTATAAATGAAACGAGTACTGCAGTTTTTATTACGAAGTGAATTACAAACAATTAAATTTATTGTATAAAGAACAGTATAAACACTTTAATTTATCGATTGAGTATTTTTGACCGAAAAAAAAAGAAAGTTCAAAAAACATAATAAAATACTCACTACATACTAATGCTTCTTTATTTGATCACTTCTGATAATTTTACTATTTAATTTTAATTTTTGAACGTTGTACACAATGATGTATCGTTCGGTTTAATAATTAATGATGCAGTGTTAATAAATTCTTAAAAATAATAATTTTTTCACCCTACTTCGTTAACGATGATTTAAATTACTGTTCAAATTTCTCTAAGTACGTGAAGACGCTTTGTGATCTTGGTCTCAGGCTAAGTAAATGAACATAGAATAACCTACAAATTAATTCATACAGTATTATCAATTCAAGTAAATGAATTTAATTAAAGTGTACGAGTGTCCAAAGTTTTAGTATAATTTTCCATGCATCTTTAGGTAGAGTTATTCATTTGACTATTAAGAATCTGACAGTATTAACTTAGAGAAAAAACATAGGCGAAAATATTTATATGAAGAAATAATGACTCTCTTGGTGATGCTATCAAAATCGTTTATTGCTGTGAAGAACGTTTCGGCCCGTACAGTAAACCACGTTACATGGCCTTCATCAGGTACAACTTTATAGCCACGACAATAGCGACTATAGGTATCACGATAGATGGTAGATCGAAAAATTCACGTATTTGGGCCGAAACGTTCTTCACAGCAATGAACGATTTTGATAGTATCACCAAGAGAGTCATTATTTCTTCATAATAATTATCTGCTATCATGAGAGCCACTGACAAAGAAAATATTTGTAGCAAAAGCAGATATGGCTGCTGATTTATAATTTTTTCCACAGCTATCAATCTTCATTTAAAACAGAAAGAAAAAAATTAAGATATTTTGATGACACTCACCTTACCGTCATCAATGCCAAAAATTCTTTAAACAAATTTAAGCTTAAGCTTAGACACTGTAGCTGAAATCATTGAGTATGTAAAAACAGAAATTTCATGTTTTCATGCATTCTACTTACCCAGTACAAACATTTATAAGCTTACATAATACTTTTGCATTTTAGAACTAAGACAGTCATCACGTGATCCAGTAATTACTAAAAAATTTGATATCAAGATTAGTAGATGCTTTAATAAGTTAAACTAATTGAAAAAAGAAAAGTTACATCCTAATATCATGAGAAAACTAAGTACTAGTCCTTTCCATAATTGTAGGATGTAACTTTTATTTTGTGGTGTGTTAAAGATTACCATAGACTTGAGTGTGATCGATTCCTCAAAATAACGAGTTAGCGGGTCTTCTCGTGGATCTACGCCAAATAAGCTGTAAAACCTATTAAAAAATTAAAATTATCCAAGTGTCACAGTAGGTCAGGTAGGAAAATGTTATACCGAGTGCTTTTAAACAAATAATACTTCACTGTTTTTAAATTTATAACCCGCATAACTGTACTTTCTTATCCAAAAAAAATTTGACAAAACACTCCTTCTTATTGCTAGTAATGTTAATGAAAAATATAGCAAGCAGAGATGTCTTAAAAATTACCAGAAGGAGGAAATAAATGATCGTGATATTTAAAGGGGTAATAGCGACACAACCAACCTCAAGAGTGAGTTGGAGTTAAAAATTTATTCAGAATATTTTTGCCCTTGTTACGTCGTATTCAAAATATCACATTTTTATAAATGAATATAAATTACAGAACAAATGAAAGACTCGTGTGGGAAATCGTCTTTTCCGCACTTGTTACGTAAATAACTATTCTTTATGTTTACAAAATATGGACAAAATATTTTTAACGTATTAAAGAAAACTAAAATATTTCTGAAAAACACTTTTCTAATATTTTATGTATAATTTAAATAGTTATTTTTTACTTAATTATTATGAAATTCATTTAAAGTATTTCGTTATATTTTTTTCTAGTAAAATAAAAATATTGTGTAACTACATTAAAAACAGTTTCGGATACATTTAAAAATAATATTTTCTATTCTGTCTTTAAAAATTTAGAAACAAGTTTTAAAATTGGCTTATATCAACTTAGAATAGATGGCTCATTGTATAGAATGTTGTTATACTGTGTCGCAGTGTTAGATTGTTAAGGGAAATTCAGTAAAAAAAATAAGTCTAGCGTAAGAATAACGTTAGTCGGTATATCCACATAAGTTGCTTATTTGTTTGTTACTTTTTGAGAAGCCCTTTCTGAGAACTGTGCTCAATAGGATATGCAATGCTGTGTTACTATGAGCATTATATGTTATTGTCATTAGCATAGTGAAAAACTGCCTCGAATTTAATTGTGTTATTAACTACTTGCACAACAAAGGCAATCTTATCTTACATGACTTATTCCGAATCATCGAATCACAGTTAGGATACGCAATGAAAAACTAGATTCTCAGAGATGCGAGCCAAGTGAGTAAAGACCGAGACTCGAATCTGGTGAGCAATATGTTACGAGGCACGCCGAACACCGGTAAAAAGTGTGTTTCTGCCTGTACCATGTAACCTTACAATTTTTATGTTCAGTGAAACACAAACAATCAAGCGTGTGTATGAAATAAATGTGTATGCACCTCGGCCACAAATTAAACTATCACCACTTGTTTGCTGTGTTGGCCTCGCTTTTGGCCCGTGGTAGGTATTATGGTTTTTCGTGCTCCAGCAGCTGAAAAGTAAATATTCCCGTCTGCGTAGAGGTAAACAATTTTCTTTTTCCAGGTTACAAGTATGAAAAATATTTTTCTATAAGCATTGAAGGAGATTTGTTATCAGAAGGAAATGTGCCACTTTAGCCCCAAAAATTATGGATAAAATGAAGTAGTTTTATTGTGGTCTTTTGACTAGTTTCCAAAGCTATTGTGCAATTCAGAAATATATTTTCATTATGAATGAGATGTCCACTTCGCTGTTTAAATAAATAATGTGAGTTTTACGTATACTTCAGTTTGAATTGACTCACCCACCAGAGCTTAGACTAGCATGCTAGCAGTCTCTAGACTGCATGAAAAAACACCTAACAAATGTTTTGCATTATCTTAAGCTTTAAAAACTTTATGACAAAGAACATGGTCTTCAAAATTTTTCAAAACTTGCGTTTTTGCTTAGGTATGTAGCTCATTGAGACTATTTGCTTGGTTAAAAGCTTGTATAAAAGCTTTAAAAAAGGGCTACCAAACAAATATATGATGTAACAATAAGCTTGCATTATCTAATTTAGTCTCAAAATGTAGAAAATGAAAATACCACTGCCAGAACCAACAATCGTGGAATACGTTTAAAACTTAAGATAATGAAAAAAAGGCAACTAAATGTTTCCAAAAATCTCTGTATCAGAACTTACCAAAATTATTTTTAAAATTTTGCTCATTACTTTATCAATTACTTTTATTAAAAGTTTTCTTACGACTAGTATACAACAACTGAGTTATTTACAAGACATATTTATTGAAAAATCTTTATCATTATAATCTATGTTCCTTATTACTATTTTTATGTAAAAACTGCTATACCTTGAAATTTTTTTTTACACTGTTAACACTCTGATTTACAAATGGTACAATATTATCAAAAAATAATTTCTTTATTTACAGACGTAAAAACCTGTCCCACGAAAAATTTTTTTTTCAAACGCAATGTCATTCTTATCTGTTTCTTTTTTTTTTTCAAATCTTAATCAAGTACACATTTGTTTACAATCGAACTTTTTCTTCCAAAATATTATCATACAACTCTTCTGTAAGTTTAACGTATCTACCAGACTTTTCCAGAAAGTATACTGGATCTTGAATCTAAAAATGTAGAATAAATGATATAATCCGTGATACTTCAGTTCAATTAAAACCTGTGTAATCTTTAGTAAACTAAAAATATAAATACCTTATGTATATTGAATCCCTCTTTCTGGAGATCTTTTTTCTTCAATTTGAAAGTACCTACACAAAATTGAATGAAAAATTTTTCCAGTTAATTTTGAAGTATTCCTCTTCGTAAAAAGTAACTTCTACATTTTGACCAGAGAAAAAGTAAAACAAAACATAAATTTTCAGTTTGAGTGGCACAAAAATTTTTAACTTCATCAAAAACCTACTTTACGAGGATTTTGTGTAGTATCGATAGTATAGATTTATAAATGCGCGTTTATTCCTCCAGAGCCTACTTAAAAATGTCTATTAGTTTTTTTAGTGGAAAGTTTTCTCAAAATTCTATCCAAAGAAAAAAATGTTATAGCTCTGGAAGTCAAAAACAGTTAATGGAATACAATTTTTTTCAATATAACTTATAAAAATAAGCTTGGTTTGGTTTGTTCATTATTGAAAAAAGTTCAAAATCTTGGAAAAAAGTCATACCTTTCTTCAAATAACGGTTGAAAATCGTAAAAGACACATTGTTAGATACATTACATTTTGGATACATTAATCAGCAGCAATACAAGCGATTACAAGTTTACGAAATATGTAATTAAAAATAGGCTTGACTTTAACGTTATTAACGATTCTATCTGTATTTTATGAAAAAACAGGTTACAGAATAAAGTAATAATTCGGTGTCAATTACAAGCGATCACACGAAATTTGTAAAAAATATACTTTATCATGCACAAATATTATGACTGCATAATTTGCAGATAAATATGCACAATATACAGATAAATTTATATCTGTTTGAAGAACTATTCATATCTCAAAATCTAGTTATCTAGTAACTATGTGCTTGTAGCACATAATATTTAAATTTTATTCAATAACGATTAACTTTGGTAAAAATGTAGTTGTTATGTCTTCAATCTCAGAGCTTCATGTGTTGCATAAGTTTCGTTATTTGCTAAGTTAAAAAAAGAATCATTTACCGGTCATTGGAAGATTTGCTAGAACTCGAACAAATAAGGGTCTGGCGTAAGCAGGTAGGGATTTTTTTACGCCTTCAGCTAAATCACTAAGATTAGTATTATGATCAGGGTCATATATTGCTGCCATACCAGCTTTTCCTTCATTCCCAGGTACCTAAAATTATAAACGCGTCATAAACATTGAACCATAAACTAACGTGGCCTGGGCATTTGCACCCTTTAAGGTTCTATGGATTATGAAAAATATTCTTTGTTCTTTATCACGATTATTGAATACAAAAATCACATATTTAAATTCAAGCGTTTTACTGGCCTAAAGAGTTATAAAATATTGATAAAAAAAATAATAAGAAATCATTTTAATCTGCACGTGCGCAGAAGACGATAAATCAATTTTCTCCTAATTTCCTCTAAATCTAAGTAGTTTACACATAATTTCTACGATTGTAAGAGATTTTTTGTAAAAAAAAGTATCAATACAATTTTTATTTAAAAATATTTGTCATTTATTTTAAAAGTTATAGTCGTTTTAGTAACAAATTCCATAAGACTGCGTGTTAAATTAATAAGTTTTCAGTACCGATTTTCTGAAAAATAAAGTGGTTGACCCTAGTATTTTTGACCACAAACTATTTAGCTGCACTTGATTCACATTGTTTTAATATTTCAGAAATTTTTATTATTACAGCAAAAATCACCCAAGCCACTGTAAAACTTAACTAAGTAGAACTTTGTGAATCTCATTACTCACCTCAACTCCATAGACAACTGCGTCTCGTAAGCCAATCACATTACTTACAACAGCTTCAACCTCAGAAGTGGCTACATTTTCTCCACGCCATCTAAAAAAAATGTTGTTGGACTTATTGAATTATTAAAAGATTTCAGCTAAACACATTATTAACACTCGTACATTAATATTAATTAATTAATCACATTATGGAAATGTATTTACCTAAAAGTGTCACCAGTTCTATCTTTGAAATAAAAGTACCCATACTCGTCTTTCACCAGGATATCACCTAAAACAGAAGGAAAATGGTAAATTAAAGTTATTTGTTTAAATCGACAAATACTTATAGTTCCAAGCATAACCGTTCTTAACATTGTAGCAATCGTAAAATTAAAAAAAAAATATGAATCCTAGCTGGTAAAGTCTAGTAGACTAAAAACAAATTATTTCAAATACTGATTGTTCTGCTTCGATAAAAAAATATTTATTTTACTCATTTTTTGCTTGAACTTTTAATGATCCATAATCTAAACTGTTTCATTACAAATTTTTTGATACTGAACATTTAGGAAAAAATTAGTTTGTAATAGTCAGTTTGAAAGATTGTTTATTGATTCAAATTTTGTGAAATCTACATTCAATTTAGACGCTTAAAAAATAATAACCTGAGTTAAAAACGCGATCGCCTTTTTTGAAAACATCCCGGATAATTTTTTCCTCTGATGCTGTTTTGTCGACATAGCCACTAAAGTCATTGACGGCCTTTTTAGGATTGATTTTTCCAACGAACACACCAGGCTCTCCTGGCTCACATGTAATACAAAGCCCTTTTGGACCCCTGATTGGCTCACCGGTAGCTTCGTCAACTTTAAGCAAGGCAACGGGGTATAAAGATCCAGCGTAAAGCGGTAGGAAGCCAACAGCACCAATCTGGTTATCAATATTCACTGAAAGTAATAAAAATAAAATTTCTTATAAGTATCTTAGTTATTAAGAATGATCTTGAACCTTTTTTTTAATTTTAAAGCACGTAACAAAAAAAAGTCAGTTTAGAATTCATTATTTGCGTCATAAATTTTTTTTTCAATTGGTACGTTTCAACATGAGGTCCGCATAAGTTTCTATCATGCAGTTTGACAACAATCACGGTACGCCACAAAATACATATATGTTATGGTTCAAGCTAAAAAAATTTATCAAACTTTAGATTTTATTTGGATTTAACTTTGTTAATTCTTCAAAACAATCGAAATTAATAATCGAAAAGATATGAATTAGTCAAAAACATTTACTGCAAATGTCGATGAATGAATAAGAGATAATATTGTAGTAAACATACAAAAAAAATTCTTATAACTTTAAGGAGTGCGATCAGTTGTGGCGAAATTTTTATTTTTTTTATAAATTAATTATTAGACTTATTTTTAATTTTGATTTTAAGGAATAGCTCCATGCTTATAAAGATCACAAAGTTATATTTACGATTAAAAACTGTCCGCAGTTTCCTTCACTTCTATCGCTCGTAACGCTCAGAAAAGGGACTTCAATAGTGACAATAAGCTAATAATATTAAAACCACAAGCTAGCAATACGGTTAGAAGATGCTTCAGAACTAGAAATTATTTGATTTTGAAACAAGATAAGACCATTAAGATGCAAGAATTTTCTGAAAAAAAAGTTAGATAATTTGCAAAGTGGGATTACCGCATACTTAGGCTGCTATTTTTTACTAAAAATAATTACAACGATATGAAAAATATTCTTTAAAAAGAAATTCTTCAGTGTTATACACATTTATTTGGTAAAATTAAAAAATTTGATGTTACTAAATAATCTATTATGTTATTTATCGACATACTTCACTTTTGAACAGAATCTTTTATGGCACGTTCAGCAAGGCAGTAAATTAAAAATAATCAAGACACATAACGTATATTCATTGTTTTTATATGTAATCATGCAAGAAAAAAGAGACGGTTACATGGTATAGGCATGAGAGCAAGTGGGAAATCCCCGAAGAGGCAGGCCAAACATGTTTAAAAAAGATAGTTACACAGTACGTGAGGTGAGATGAAATACGCGATGTGTGTACAGCGTAGACTGTGAAAAATGACAATATTAACGATGCAATCATTTGTGTTGTGTGTTTTTGTATGAACACATAAGTACATATATTATGTGTATGTACTCGTGGAGCTTTTCCCCCCTGCACACTACGTGCACCAACCCCCACTAACATATTTTTTTTTTTTTTTTTTTTTATGGAGTGGAGAGGAAAAAATCTTCATAGATACCCCAGCTAATCTGGTGGTAGTGTTGGATTCACCCAGTGTGCCTACCGACTAGAAACGAACCTCCTTGCATGGGACACCCACTAACAGATTATGCCATTACTATAAGATAACGATGAGAAGATAAAGCATGTGAATACATTAAACGACCAACGCCATAAAAACGGAGGTTAAAAAAAATTATCCTCATAAAGAAAAACGTTTCAGAAATAAAATGTTTAATTTAGTGTATGTAAGTTTTTATCATGTGCAGAAAAAAATATTTAAAATCATTTGCAAACAAAAATAGTAGTTTTCCTACGAGTTTGAAAAGTCTCTATTTGCGAACCGAGAGGTTTGCGGCCCGAGCCGAAGGCGAGGGACGTAACGAGGTTCGTAAAGGAGACTTTTCGAACGAGTTCCGGAAAACTGCTTTTTCGCCCGAGAAAGTACCAGCCTCCCAAAACCACCCGAGTGCGGAAAAAGTATTTTCTGTATAGATGGTCTAGGATGGTCAGGGAAAACTGATTTATATAAAACGTTAATTTATTTTTTTCTTTCTCAAAGTAAAAAAATTTTGTCAATAGCATGTACTGACATAGCATCAGTTTTGTTTCAAAGGGGATGACAAGTCATGGAACCTTTCGACTTTCTTTAGATCTTAATAATATAGAGCGTGTATTCTTAGAATTCGAGTCAGAAAAAAAAGTTAAGAGAAGTTGATTTAATTATTTGGGATGAGGCTTTAATGATTCCAAAAAGAGCATTGAAAACAGTAGACAGAACGTTAAGAAATGTATGTAATACTAAAAAATATTTTGGAAGTAAGTTAATTATTTTAGGAAGTGATTTTCGTCAGATTCTTCCAGTGATAAAAAACGGTAATAAAAAAATTATACTTGAACAAACTATTAAATCTTCATTTTAATGGAGCTCATTCCAAATTTTTAAATTAGAAATCAATATTCGTTCTAACGATAAGGAATTTTCAAAATTATTATTAAAAATTGGGGAAGGGGAAATAAAAACTTTACAGAGTGCTTTCTTAGAATTTGAATCAGATAAACAAAAGAAAAGAAGAAGAAGGTTCAATCATTCTAAAAAAGGCATTGAAAATAGTAGACAGAATATTAAAAAATATTTCGAAAGTAAATTAAGTATTTTAGAAAGGGATTTTTGTCACATTCTCCCAGTGATAAGAAACAGGAACAGAAAAATCATGATCGAACAATCTATTACATTTTTCTTTTTATGGAGCTTATCTCATATTTTAAAATTAGAATTCAATACTCATTCTAACAATAAAAGATTATCAAAACTAATATTGGATGTTTAAGAAGGGAAAATGGAATCTTTTAATATTCCTAAAAATTGGATATCAAATTATGTATGTTCTTAAATATTTTATTATCATCTGATTTCAATGATTGTTCGTTGAGTAGTGTTATACTAAAATCGCACAACGAGTACACCTGTTGTTTGAATAATAAAATTTTTGTGAATTAACTGGAGAAATAATAACTTCCTATAGTAAAGATAATGAAACTTATAAAGGAGTCAATAAATCAGACGATAATATTGATATAAATTTTTCAGAGAAAATGTTGAGCAACACTCTTAAAGGATTACCACCTCACGAACTAAGCTTAAATATTGGTACTATAGTGATGTTATTTAGAAATTTGAGTATATCAGATAGACTGTTTAACAGAACACGATTAATAAATACAAAATTATTAAAGTATCATGTAAAAAGAGAGAAAATTGAAAATGGAGTCTTCATTCCAAAAATTATTGTAAACACAGGAAACACCTCAACATTACCTTTAACTTTGTATCGTAAGCAATTTCTAACTATTGTGGCATTGGCTATGACAATAAACAAATTATAAGATCAAAGTCTCGGTAATATAGGTTTCTACTCAAGAAAACTTAATTTTCTCATGGTCAGTTATACGTAAAATTATGAAGATGCAAAAATAAAAATGAATTGTTTATTTAAGTAGAAAGAGAAAAAAAAACAGAAAAAGAAGCATATGTGGGGTGACAATAAATATGGTACCAAGGCTGTAGAGAGTATGCGTGGAGGCGGTGGGGGTATGGGGGGCTGTTATGGGTTCAAGGAAAAAATTCGTAATGTCAAATTATCTGTAAAAAAAGTCAAATTTTGCCTTATTATGCAGGGGAGCTGCGGAGGGCTTGTAGGGGGCTGTGGAATATCCCTCACAAATTACTATACAATAAATGGATGTAAGTATATGATTCCATATAGACCTGCAAAATACTTAAGACGATTCATTTCTAAAGAAAATTTATCGTTCATTGAAAAGAAAATAATGGAAGTTAAAATACAACCTCCATGCTTTCCTAAGAAGCTAGCAGAACTAAAGCTTACAGAAATTTCATTTTACGTACAACATTATGACCTCACTTGTTCCTGCTATATGGTTATGTCAGAATGAAATCAAATTTAAGAATTGAAAAAAATTTTTTACTGGTAAGAAATATATTTAGACTTTTCTAATTTACTTTAAACTAATTCTATGACAACACAACTACAGAAAATTACAAAAAAATGTTATACCTCAAAGCATAAGCAATGTCATTTTTTGGGTTTGCTGAAAAGAATATAAGAATCAAGGCCTATAAATATGAAGATGTTGGACGGATGTAACAACATCTCCTTTATATTCCTTGTTCTGGATTCAATACAAATAAGTTGAAATTTATTGAAAAGATAATATAACGTTGATGATACTTATATGAACGGGCACATTTTGTTTCGAAACAATGGTATGACATTACATTTAAGAAACAGAAAAAACGTGAAATCTTGGGGGGAAAGCGAAATAGGTAAACAGAAACAGTGGAAACTGGTTTTCTAAGGAACAACCTACCAGACTGTATATTTTCATATGTCTTCCTATTTTATTTAGTTGTTCAGATAGGACGGTTAATAAGTCATCCACAGTCCTTAAACATCTCGCTGCAGCTCCTCTATACTCTCCCACAAAACAGTATGAAATTCGTTCAATTTCTGCCTTATTTTAACCCAATAAAATTTCAGTCAAGCTCTCCAAATACCTCCAGCTGCTCCTATTTCGTTATCAGAGCTCTCTACATCCCCCGTAATTTGTTTCACTTTTTTATTAGCAAATACGTTGCAACATTTATACACACATACCTTAATACTATATTTCTAGTGGTTAAGAAAACTTATTTATTTATTTATTTTTGACAAATTAAACAATAAAGTTAAAGTGCTGAATTCCAGTTTAAAGTTTGTACTAAAATCCATTGTTTCTATATGTTTTAACTTACTTGTTTAGAAATTGATTGTTACTTATGTTATTTTTTATGCTCTATATGAGTTACTTAAGCTTATGAAGATTCATTTAGTAGTTTAATAATATTAAAGACTTTGTTTTCAAAACCAAGCGTGAAATATATTATATGCTTCAAGCCATAGCAGAGAACAAGTTTGGTTTTTAAAGCATTATAAGATATATTTCCAGGCATTTATGATAAAAGTTTGCTATAACATGTTTTTTTTTAATACGAAGTTTTCCTAGAAACTCTAGTATCCATACATACATACCTGCATAAATATACTTATTTATCGGTAATAAGTACTACTGAAACTATATTAATTGCATGAAAATCAAAATTTGATACAGGGCAATATTTATAAAAAAGGGTTATTTTTGTTCTAATAACATGAAAAAGCATTGTACGTGCATGAATTTTGGTTTTAGTTATGCCTTAAAAAATAGTATCCAAAAATATAAATTTCTGGTTGAAAAAATTTAGAAAGAAACATTATGATTACCAAGATTTGAATTGCCTTCGGTAGCGCCGTAAAATTCTCCAATTTGTTTTACGTTGAATCTTTCAACAAAAGGTTTCCAAATTTGAGGTCGCAGTCCATTTCCATACATTAGTCTGACTTTGTGCGATTTGTCCGCCGAGCTTGCAGGAACAGCAAGAAGATAACGACATATTTCTCCAATATACTGAGCAACCTTAAGTAAATTTTAAGTATACGTTAAACTTCAACTGTTGTCTGTACTGTTTTACCAATCTGAGAAAACACTAAAAGATTGTATTTTGTGTTAGTGCTATCTAGTTGGTTCTGTTCTGAAGAAAAACTTGATTGCCTAATACGTAAACGAATAATATAGATAAGAAAATTTTAACCATTCACATACTAATTTCCGAAACCAATCGAATCTTATGTTTCGTCAAAAAACCTACAAAAAATACATTTAGAAAAAGTTCAATCGTATTGATGTTTTCTATATTGACACTCAATTCTTCTTTTGTTCATTTTTTGAGTAAACGTACGGAAATACCTCAATTACTTTCAACCGAAAAAGATTCTTACTGACTTTGTTTTATCGTACTTCTATTCGTAATACATCTAAATGTGCATCAAAGTGAATAATGTAGTAGTTAATAAATTAGTCTTACGGTACACTTGTAATGGACGCAGTCTGGCCAGAAATTTGAAGCACTGAATCGCCGACGCAATACTACTGTAACTCCACGTAGCAATGACTGGCCTGCACCGACAATACCCCCAGCTGTATGATAAAGCGGTAGAGAATCGTAAATACGATCAGATGACTTTAGACCCAACATAGAGTGCACTCCACAAGTCATCAGCATGTATCTATTAATAGTTTGAACATAATTCTACTATTTGTAATACAATATTTTTTATGTGTGATAATTATTAATAATGTTATTAATAATATTATTACATTAATAAAATCAAATAATAAAAATTAATAATGTACCAAATGTCGTTAGCCCTACTTAGATTTGTAGTTGTCATACGTAAAAACATTTTTAAACTTGATTTAAAAGACTAGAACCCTCAACTAATGTATTGTTAGAAAATTTTTGTTTTTTGCGAGGAATGCTATCAACTTGAATGTACATGTGTTATGTTAATCATTCACAATTAATACAACCGTTTACCTGTGGCGTGCTCTATTCTAATATATCTATGGCAGATATAGATTCAATAGGTCTTTTTTTCATAACCTACGAATGCTAACTCTGCAGTAAGTCATTTTTGCAAGAGGTGACAAGCCTCCTTAAAAGTAAGATAAATGTTTTTTTTTTCGTTTATACAACCCATGATTGAATCGATTTTTTTTTTTTTCTTATTTTTATTCCATCCCAATAGAAATTGAAAAAATAAGTTTTAATGCCTATGGACTCAATCGTAAATGATAACATATAACATATTTCCGTGTAATGTTAAAACAGACATTGATTCTTCTTATTTTCTTCCTAGTATAATGTGAAGTGATTATTATCACATGTTATTACACAACCACACAAGAAAACCCTGATCATCGGGGTCACACCAAGCATAGCGTGTGTGTTTTTGCGGTTGCTAAATCAGAAACTATAATTGGATACACCTTGTCAGGTCAGAGTTTTACTAGTTTTACTATGACCCCTAAAAGCCCAATTATCTTAATAACATAATCGTATATAACTAAAATCACAACATTAAGGTGGTTCTTTCATGACTCCCGAATCGAAGGTGCAAGCACCAAGTTAATATTTATTAATACTACTTGAATTTCAACCGATTATGTGTTAATTAAAAATAACGTCCAATAGTGATACTATCATATTTTGTATTTATTTAGGAACAAAACAACGTTTCGAATATTATTATCGATACTATTTTACATCCCTTTCGTAAGAGTCAGAGATTTTTGTACTTGATGAGGGCTGGAACGTTGTCCAAACAACCGAAACGTCGTTTTATTTTTAAATAAATACAAAATATGACAGTACCACCATTGGACATTTTATTAAATTATTTACCAACCGTCATTGGACGTCTCATTCAATGATTAGTTGTTAACATTGGTTATTGAATTAAATTAAGTACTGATTCAAAATCTTAGATCATGATATCTCACACAAAAAATCGTAAGAATGATAATGTAAAATTTGCGCTTAATGTCAAAATACTAGCAGTAGATGCTTGTCCATGCTTTCAACATAGAAAACTAAAACGTATGCTTGTGTTTATGTTAACATCTTTTGATTGAGTCCGTGAACATATGTATACCAAGATGGCAGTAGTTAGTACTGCGTAAACTTTATTGTGTCAGTTTTTTTACTTAATTATGTTCAATAAATAAAGAGCTAGGCTACTACTTTCAGTAGAGAAATGCTTAGTTGCCGTAAGAGCACTTGTTTGGAGTTCAATTATTATTGATTATTTTTTTGTGTTTATATTCGTCAATTTACTGTAAAATTTTGAGGGGTACAGTATTGATTAATAAATGATTCTTTGGGATTTCACGTCATTCTGTTTCTAATCATTTCATGAAAGAAACGCCTTAAAGCCCATATCGTCGTTCAAGACCATCTATAAAAAACATTTTACTTTTTTCTTCATTCATTTATTTTAAAATATTTTTCGATCATCATTAAATTAAATATTAAGATAACATGTAATAAATGATAACAAAATGTAGTTTTATCCGGATTATTAATTTCTTGTAAAGTAATCACTTTAGCCGTTGGTAAGACAAATTTACGTCACTGGTGCTCCGTAAGTGAAACTTTTTACTTACCGAGCACCAGGGGACCTAAAATCGTATACGCACCACGTTCGGAGGTTAAGAAATGCCCTAGATTTCACATCAAACGTTTATGTATGTGAAATCTGCGACATTCTTAACCTCACTCAGTAGGTGCGTAATGTACTAATATTTATTTAAGTTTTCCTCTTATTTAAAAATTTTATTGATTTTTTTTTATTTAGCTATTTTAATTATTGTTAATGTAATTATCTATAAAGTTACCTTTTTTTATTTATTACATTAAAAATTTTTCTACGTAAGAACCATGCAAAAATTATCTCAATTTTTAGGTAGCATAATAGTACTAGACTTTCAATTATGATGAATTTAAAAATCATCTTTATCTAAATGTATGACAGTAGCCGTTTCTTTTAGGGGGTTGGAGCGAAATACAAATTTCTTACGAAAGTCTTTAAAAAATTATGATGTATTTGTTGTTGTTATGTTAATAACATATTAAAATTTCAGGAACCACAGCGTCACAGTTTTTGAGAAAAAAATAACAAACTAATTTTCTTATACACAAGTTCTTATATAACGTCGTTGTGGCATTTACATATTTACCAATAACTTGCAAAATATTTTTACAAATCTTTAAAAAAACGAGTGTCTTATTGTAAATAAAAATAAGAATAACATAACCAAATTTGAGGAGTCCTCTGTCACAGTTTAAGAAATACTTAAATTAAAAATTTAAACAAAATGCTACAAGTATATTTATATACAGCAGATGAGGTAAAGAGCATTGTGCATTATTCCAATTTTTAAATATGTACTTTCTATTTTCTCGACTATTAATAATCTTCTGCGGAACGATATGGAAAAGCTGGGCATTAAAACTACGATCCTATTTTTTCAAGCTAGTCAGTATTTCGAGGTAGAAAAACTAATTCAATCACTCTAATAAAAAAGCTCATCTAAATGGCTCAGAATCCTGAAGACACATACATAGAATTGGTTTTAAAGAGATAGATACCAAGTGGTAGAGACAAAGAGAGAGCAAAAAAAGTTGAAAATCTCGACAGCTTAAAAATTAATCATTTTATGGTATAGAAACGTTTAACACTTCACAAAAAAAGGTTGCAATGACTAAAAATGAGACATTACAACTAACAAATTGTTAAATACAAAAAAGAGAGTACACAAAAAGAATAAGGAAAACATCTTTCATAAAATCGAGAAGTGAAAAAAGTGAAAGAGTATGGTTTTCTGAGGTAAAGTAAGCAGTTAAAGTTAATATTTTCTTAGTCCAAATAAAAAGTTAACAGTAAGAATATAATATTAAGGAGAACACTAGATAGAACAGTTAAAGTATAAGTACAACAATACTACGATAATAAGTCAAAAAAGAAATGATACTACTAAAGACAAGCAACCAAAGGAAATAAACTTTCAGATTAAGAAATATTAAAGTTAAAGTATCCTAAACAAAAATATAAAGATTTTAAAATGAAGAACGACATTGTTTTTACTAAAAAAATTTTATCTGAAAATATTAAGTTGGGCTAAGAGGGATAAAAGTTGGTGGATACAAAAACATTAATAAAAATTGTAGATAAACCTAAATAAAATTAATTATAATAATATAAAACTAATAATAAAAAAAAACATGCAGAAAAAGAAAAAAAAATATAAAAAAATGAAAAATCAAACTGTTTTTATAGAAAATTATTGATTATTCCGAGTCGCCATAATATGCAAACGTTTGATTTGTTAACCATCTTTAAAACTAGAAATCAAACAAATCACGTGTTAATAAAAAAATGTTACTCTTTTTTATAGCCTACAAGTTTTTTTTCAATTTATTTAGTGATTTTGTAAATTATGATTTCTTGACAGAACTTTTTAGCTCTTCCAAGTACCAAGCAAGTAATTGAATTGGGCTTAATCGTTTCGATTTTTAATAGAAAAAAAAAAATAAATACAAAAACTCCAAATATATAACACAATGTAGACACATTTTAATTTTGTCGTAGTATGCTTATTAAGATGATAAATTTACTAAGACTAGATGTAATAAACTAGGAATCATACCCAATAAAAATGTAAAATGTGCACAATTTTCAAATATTCAAACACATACATAAGCATACACATTCTATTTATGTGTATGTATGTACACAGAAACAGAAGTTATACCACCAATATTCTTACTCCTAATAACTATGAGTGTATGACGTATCTGTACTAAAATTTTTCGCGAACATATTATTTTAAATAGTACGCTTGTATATCACATTACAGCACAGTGGCTAAATACCTCAAATTGCTGATAACTGCAGCCTTGGGCAGTCCCGTCGTACCAGACGTGTAAATATAAATGAGCTTATCACGTGGACAGCTAATCGCAAGGTCGGCGATGAGGGGCTCAGGGTCAGTCTTGGCCAAGCCAGTGGTTAAATCTTTGGCACCCTTTATCACCGTAGTTTCCGCATTCTCTGACCATTGGTACAGTATCAGATCAGGAATTTTTTCTCTTATCTCATTAATAACTATAAATATGTATACATTAAAATATGTAAAACGCTGAAAAATTTTTTTTTTACTGCATACATAAAGGGTATATAGTTTGTTACCTTCTCTGTATTCTCCACTGAAGATGACAGCTTTGCAGTCAGCCACTTTGATGCTATGAACGAGCACGTCACTACGTAGATTTGTGTTGAGAAGGGCAGTTATAAATCCAACCTTGCTTAAGCCAAGCCATATGCCAATGTACTCTACTCGATTCTCCATTAGCAGGGCAACGCTGTCACCCCGAGACAGTGATTTTGGACGAAAGTAACGACCGACGCGATTGCTGAATTCTTCTAGCTGACGTTTAAAACATTATGAAAGCTTACTTTTTATATTTTACATAATATAACTGAAAAGTATTTTTTCAATAATTGGCTAGCAATTTTTATTTTAACATTAATAACGACTTATGAAATTGACAAAAGCATAATATATGGGAGAATATTGTATACATATTTTATTGATCAGAAAATTTTCACATAAAAAATTCATGATTAAAATATAGTAATTTAAATATTGTTGTGCTACATATGTAACTTTATTTCACAGAATTTTGATCAAAATGTTAATGTTAACACAGAAAACTACTTTCAGTGTACGTACACAATTGAAGATTGACTTTCTGAATTTTTGAAATGAGAATACCTGCTTATAAGTCCATTCTTTATCTTCGAAGATGAAAGCAATATTCTCGGGATTTCTTTTGGCCAATCTCGTGAAAATACCAGCTACAGTGAAACATCTCAATTCCCACCACCATAAAAGAGCGTTTACTTTTATAAATCTGAAGGCTCCTCTGCAATACACAATCATTAGAATGAGTGCTGAACTATTATAAATAACTTTAAAACTTAATATTTTGTTATACTAATAATTATAAATAATTTGTGTAATCAAATAAACAACTTAATTGTAAAAAATATCATATTCTCACTAGACATTTTTGGCATTCATCCCTCTTCTAATTTAATACTGAAAGTACTGAGTAGTAAAAAGTGCGAAGAATACAAGAATGTATCTCAAATTTATGGATCTTTCAGCTGCTCCTATCATTTATTCCGAATCGATAAACCCTTTTCTAAGTGGGTTTAAGATTGTTATAAAGGATGGATAAGTGATTTTTTAAGACAACGAGAGCAGTTTTTGTTTAGTGGCAAATAAAAAAAAATTAAAATTAAAACTTTTATTACGATACAATACATAGGTGAAAAACGAGCTTCTGAAAGATTGCAACATTTAAAAAATTGATGTTTTTGTATTTCATTAAAATTTGTGTGGTAGGATTAGTTAAAAGAATTTATGCTTACATTTTGTTTATGTCTTTTGAATGTAGTATAAGCCTGATAATGTTGGCATTACATTTGATGAGACCTTATCAGAATGCATACTTATAGAAACCTTGTGATTTTACTTTCTCTCTGTGATTGACTTGTAACCAAGAATGTTTTACTCCTTTGGATTAGATTTTTTTTTTAAATTCTGCTAACTTCAACATTACAAGCTAAAAGGCAATTGTAACAATTATTTTGGATTAAACCGACAATGAAAATAATAATGCATTATATCTATTACCGAACGCAAAAAAAGATAATTTCATACAAAACAAAGGATAAAATATTGATTTGAATTATATGATAGAACAATCACAAACATTTAATATTAAACAAACAAGGAATATTACACAGTGCTCTCTGAATTTTGTAAAAACTATCTCTAGTATCCTGCCAATGGCTATTTGATTGTAGTGCTACTTAAAAAAAAAAATCTTTTTATACTTTGCAAATTTTATTGAACTGATCATAATGTACGGTAATAGTTTTTAGTCCTCTGCTTCTATAAGTTTTTCTCTTGATTTGACATTTCCTGCTTTTTAATAATCTCTCTATGTCATCATTCCCTCGAATTTTTTAAAAAGAAGCTTCCTATATACATAGAATCAAACAGTTTCAACAGTTTTGCAAACAATTTAACAATGAGCAAGGTATCACGTAAAATAATATTCACCAATAATAACAATAGTCTGTCACTGTCCTAACCGTGTGAATGATGAACGGTTCAATTTGCTCCGCGAGTTTTCATTTAAATACGCATACACAATTGCCAGGCTGAGCTGATTAAGATGCCTTGCGTGCCATCGTCTGCTCTTGAAAGCGTATCACACGAGGTGAAAATAAGTATTAAATAACCAAGTATTTCCGTTTTCACGAATTTTTTCTCAAAGTAAATTATATTGAAAACTAAATGAGTCCAGTTGCAAGGGTGTGCATAAAAAGAATTTATTAAAAAATGGGAGCCCGATTTTGAATACATTTCTTGTACGTAGGCTGTCATACAAGCTGCATAAAATAGATGTATAGACAACAACAACTAGAATGAAACTAAAATTACAAATATACCATTAATAAAGTGTAAGTTCACAAGTGAAACTGAAAATTACATGAATGAAAGAACATTGTACACAAAAAAAAAGATTAGCAAAGTTTGTCAAACAATCGAGCTTCCATTGGCTAAAGTTAGAGACTTGAGTTTATAATTTAAAGTTTCTTTGATTTTTACTAGCAAAACAGTAAAAATTGTTTGCTTCTTCAATAAGTAACTTTCAATTCAAATATTAAGATTTTTTTTAAATACGTTAATGATATCCCAACTTATCTAATGTAAATGAGGATCACTAATGTTTATTTTATTTAAAATGAAATGCTTAAATAATGAGTTTATTTTTTAGTTACAGAAAACTTTTAACAAGGATATTGAAAAGTAGAAACTATTTTTGAAAATAATTTTAATTGTTTTTTTGACATTATAATTATAGTTCCCTTTTCATATGGTCTTCTTTAATTAAAAAGTCATTAAACAACTGATTCAGATATTCTTTTGTTATTAAAAAGCTGCTGCCAATAAATTAGCAAAGAGCTTTTTCAAGCTATATTACTATGCTTTTAGTTTTTTAATAAATATATGAGATTCTTACTTTTTTTACGTTCTCTTAACATANTATATAATCAATCTTAATCTAAGAACCTAAAGGATCAACTTGAAAATGAACCGGACTCTCTGTATGATTGAAAAACTTTGTAATTATTTGTAGAGCAATTAAAAATCTCCATCAATAAATAAGCAAAAATCTTCCTCAAGGTGTATTATTCTGCTTTTAATGTCAAAGAAATGCTCAAGATTTTATTTGTCGTCCTCATAACACAATATGTTAATTTTGAATAATAAGCTTACTATTTAATACTAAAAAAATGTTTTCATATTGTTAAAGAAATATATGAGATTCTTACTTTTTTTACGTTCTCTTAACATAATATGTTTATTTAAATGAGAAGTTTACTATTAAATACTTGAATTTTTATTTCGTTTGTTATCATAAATTTTGAAGGATCCACAACGCTCACTATTTCATACTATTTCATTTGTCATTTTTCATTAATTTGTTTAACAGTTATTTAGAACCGTTGAAAAAAAAATTTGCATTTTTCATTTCTAATATTTTAAATGGGAAATATACTTATTTTTATTAACCATCGAATAAGATTATTTTACCTATCTCATTATGAATTTTTGACCCTCATTAATAAAAAAAACCAGTTTTTGACCATAAAAATTATTATAACTACCTTAATGAAGTATAAATCTTCAATTTTTAAAGTTATACTTCAATAGGCGCATTATGCGCGAGGGTACATCAACGATTTCAGATTCTGACCTTGAGAAAAAGTGTGATAAAAGTGGATTTTGCTTGATTCTTCCCCCTTCGCATCGTCCCCCGTGACGTACTACCGATTTCTTCTACACCACATGACACCGCATCATATCACCACGCCACACATTTTGAATTTCATGAGTTTCATTTCTTTTTCTTTTAATAAATTCTTAAAAAAAAAAATTAAAAAAAATTTTTAAAGAGATGTGCACCCCAAACCTTCTGCACACTATGTTGAAACCCTTATCCACTCTGCTACGAACGGTTCCAATATTAAAAATTAGATTACTGCGTGTGATGGTGTAGTTCATAAGTTATTTTTTATGTAAATTTTCACTTAATGTATATTATTTGGTTAAGTTATAAATTAAATTAACAAATAGTGTACTTAATACAATAACTTTTTTAAAAATGTTTTTCCAAAAAACTTGGAAATTGGTAAATTTTAGAAGAGCACCTTTTCAATGTATTAATGAATATTTATTCCTATATATTTAATTTGTTATTTTTACAGTAAATAAATAATTCTTTATGCAACTTTTCATACTGTTTCAAAATTTTCAAAAATTAAAAAAAAAATTTTCTCTACTGTACAAATACAATAATTAATTTTTGTTGTGTTTTATTCTTTTACAATTTTTCTTTCTTTTTGCTAGTAATTGTTTTTCTCATGTGGATGTACTCACTTACATGCATTTACGCACACTTCCTCCCCTCTTTCTAAATTCATTTGAAAACAAACTTGTGGGTCCATTTCAAAATTTGATAGATTTATCTAAAAGTAATCTTTTGGAACCAAAAAATTGAGAGATTCCTATAAATCATATAAATGACATTTAACGTGATTTTTTCTTAAGGTTACATGTTAAATATCGGTTTTTTAAAACGTAAGATATAGAAAATAATAGCATAGCCAAACGAGCTGCAGTTTTTGTGGGTATTTTTTATGCTATTTCATATACGTTTGCCGTTTGAATAATATCTGTCAAAAAAACCTATGTGTAATGAACGTCCCGAAGGGACATTCACTAGCATGTAACACTACCCTATCGAAGAAAGCGGTACTACAAGACGGTTTTTCTTAATTTTTGAGGTATGACTATATTTTGGGTATTAAATATGGACGAGGAATAAGTGTGGGATCGTCTGTGATAGATGTGAGCGTGACGTTACAGATGTAATCAGCGTAGACAGTAGGAAGTTGTTCTGAAAACACCGGAAGATTCGATGAAAGCGCACACTCTTATACTGGCTAGCCTATATATTTTTTTTATTGTATTGTGCCGTAATATATTGTTTATAATCATTAACTCATTAAATATTAATTAAAATCATACAAATCAACGAAGGTACACTCATTACCACGATAATTGCACCTCCTTCGTATACAATATTGTTTCATAGAAGGTATTTTTATACTTAAAGTTACATCGTTTGCTACATAATTTTATAAAAGTATAACTTGATAATTGGGTACCCAAGCACCTACTGTCTACTGGTTTGTTCGAGCAGCAATAAAAAACTAAAAAAAAAAAAAATTTAAGCACTAGAACATGAAAATTAATCATTTAAATCCGGAACATGACTAATTACACACATTCATCTACACGTTTTGAAAAAACTCTGTTTTTTCACCTGAGACACTATGTACAAAATCTTTCTTACATATTGTTACGAAAACCTTATTTTTTACTGATACAAAGCTTCAACCACTTTAAAACTACCTTAGTAAGGTATAAAACTCCAATTTTTTTTTAACACGAAAAAAATACAGAAAAAATTTTTTGCCCTCAATTTCTATGATATGTTAATTCGTTTAAGAGATATAATTTATTTTCCTGAAAATTTTATTATTTTTTGAATGAAAACTGATAAAAATAACTTCGTCAGAGCGTCAAAAATGGGAAATTGAGATTTTTTTATTCACTATCAAATTAAATTATTGTAAACTCCGCGTTACTAATTTTTGACTCTTATTAAGACAAAAAACCAGTTTTTAACCACCAAAAATCGTTATAACCGCTTAATAATAAGGTATAAACGTTGAACTTTTTTTCGATCCACCATAAGTAGTAGAAAAGAAAAGTTTAAGTCTTAGAACATTAAAATCGATCGTTGGACTCCTGAGATATGACTGATTACACACACACACACACACACACACACACACACACACACACACACACACACACACACACAGAGAGAGAGAGAGAGAGAGAGAGAGAGAGCATCCTTCATGAGTAAGCAAAAAAAAGTCTTATATTAGTGTACATCTGTAAAAATGGTGATGATCAGTTTTATCTTGAGAATTGCGCACATAGTAGGTTACGTTGGATTTTTATGGACCGATATTTCTTGGGGCTGGTAAACAATTTTCCACATTTGGGTTGGTGCTATAGCATTAGATGGTCGTTGATCTTATAATAATAATGCCACTATATCTATCAAAAAAGGACTAATGAAAAAGATGACGGAAAAAAAATCAGTCATTCTGACGTAAAAAGAAAATATGCATCTATAGATAAGTGCGAAAGATTATGACATACAATATTATAGATAACAAACTTCAACAGAACGATTAATCTGCTTACTGCATTGCTAACAATAAGTATTTTTAGTAAGCTAATGATTTTTTCAGATATTTAAATCTCTCTCTTAATACGTGTATGCTAACAGTATCTTTAACGATCTAGAATATTTACTGTGTGTATAGATATATATATATAAATGAGCATTAATAAATAAACGAAGTATACATGATAAGTAGATAGAAAAAAATTTAAACAGTATGTTATACATTCTATCTCGTTAAAGCAATGTATTTTATAAAATTTGTATACCAGTGTAATGGACTTGAGATTTCGTACAATCAGCATGGATGAACACACAATCAGGTAAAGATTTTTTTTATATCTCATTTACTCTTTATCAACAAAATCTTTTTAAACTAAAACGCATAACTGTATATTAAGGTTTATTACTATCCAAACCATGACCTGATACAAACGCTATTTAGCATACTATTTCCAACAGAAAAATTATTTTTCGATCATAAATGACGACTATTCTAAATTTAACGCACATCTCGAAAGTAGTAAGCTTGTAAGGGCTGAAATGAGTAAACAGAATATCAAGACCAATAATGAGGACTTGCTATTGGCATTTCCTTAAAGTTTCTAAGTATACCTCGTATTTCTCTAACCTCAAAAGTTGGAGACACGGAGAAACAATATCAAAAGCCTTTTTGGTACCTTGTAAGCCTACAATACATAAAATAAAATTTGCATGTAACTACAATTAATAGCAACTTAATTTTAAAATATCATAGTATGAACGATTTTAGAGATAACAACAATGGATCCTCAATGACGTTTAAACAACTTTTTTGGGGCATTGTTTTGCATCGTATGTACTTCATTACTTCATTCACTCTTCAAACCTCTTTCTACAAACTAGGCCAAACATGTTCATATCGTAATAATACTCGTAGGTGTCAAATTAGTGTCCAGATCTTACTGCCATACTCATGGTCAAATTGATGTCCGAGTCATTAAAATAGTGAGCCAAATTGGTTCTTTGCCATTAAACATCTATCAGAGGATGAAATATACGTGTACAAAGGCAATTGAGTTTAAACGTGTAGTATACATATACATGTTGTCATACAGTAACTCTGGCCTCATGATTTATACAGGATTAGAACCATCAGTTGCATGAACACAAGCATGTAAAAAAATTGATGACTGTTGAAAAGTAAAATAATATTTGTTAACAAATAATTCAGACTGACGTTAGTCTTCTACAGGATAACCTAAATAAATTAAAATTTAATGTTGCAAGGATTAATTCAATCATGTAATTCCGTCCAAAGTGAGGGGAATCTACACATTAAAGAATTTTAAGCAGCTCAAGTCACGTGTACGAAAAATTTGTTTAAAAAGAGAGCAAGAGCTAATTAGTAATACTTACAACATTGAGTTGTGCCCATTTTTCAACAAATTTAATTCACATCAACTGCTATGTTCGAGCCTTGATTGCCACGTGACTGAACTCTGATTGACTCCACGTAATCGGTTTCGCAGCTATTTTAAATATCTTATAACACGCGGTTGTAGCAATCATTGAAATAAATTTAAGTCTATAAAAAACAAATGATCTTGAGTTATACCATTTAATTTGTTTGCTCTGCCACATAACATTTGAATGAAAAATTCTATTTGATTGTAGGTAGTTCATATGAACGAAATTTTATCTTGCAGTTTTGAAATAATTTCACTAATATCAGACATGCGTTTTTTAATTAAAAAAAATGATATCATAACTCTCAGTTTACTTACTCATTTATATTGTTAAGATTAACCAAACAGTTGTCTGACTGTAACACATAATTACTAAAAATAGTAAGGAATAAATGAATAAATGTACAAAAAGATTAGTTCTGTTTGACAAGTGTTACAAGTATAAGTATGCAAGTTAGAGCTCGTCGTTCGATAGCCTCGAAAACAATACAGCTCAAAGTGTCATGACTTCGATTAAAAATTTACGCTGATTTTAAACAGTCTTTTTAACTTTTTTGTGCTTGTACTTTGGTTTGTTACACCATTTTTTAGTAATATCACTATAGATGCGTTAGTGTAATGGTCGGTTTATTGTAGCGCTTGCATGATCGCAATGTGCAGACTCAACGTTCAAGGTGATTTAAAAAATTTTTTTGAAATCTATAAATTTAGCTACCTATGTTGAAATGAATTTCTATCATTTAGAAAAATTTGCTTTCAATTCACTACTGTGTTGCGAATAACTGCTTACACCTTTGCAGAACGGAGACAACAAAATTTTAACTTGCAACAGTATCCACACGTAAATTGATAGCTATATCGTACGTAAATACACGATATAAGCGTAACATAAATGTAAACAAAACCAGCACACTCACGCCCATTTAAATACAACTCAATAATAATGAGAAATGCACGCTTTCGAGTATTGTTTATCTCATCATGGAGATTAAAGGGCCTGTAATAATTTGTGTCCAGAACTCCCTGAAACTAATTTTATCAGATTTTCTAAGAACGCACAAACAAATTTGACAACTATTTTGATATTGGAAACACATTGGAAAGAAGCCCCAAAAGTAAATAATTGATCGTTGAACAATAAAATTGTATTAAAAAGTCAGTTCTTGAATTCTGTACATTGCTTGAAAAAAATAAAAAAAGAATAAGAAAAAATTGGCAAATATGTCTCAACAAAATCGAGAATAAAAATTGTTGATTGTTAGGAGCAGCAACCAACCAGTCGAGAATCATCTTCCATCTTGCGCAGTTACGCGCACATAACGTGCGAGTGTGAGTGGTACATCCCCGACTTCTTCGCACCGGACGAAGCGTAAATTCTTCATCACAAGTTACTGACGCATATGTCGTTTGATGATTATAATCATTGGAGATTATAGGAGGGAGAAAACAGTTCCGCAAATAAAGTTATACTCCACATAATAATTTTCATATGAAAGAGATTAAGCGGTCACTACATGGAATACTGGTTGCATTGTTACATAATTGTGAGGTGATTGTAATAATTGAACAGTTATGCTTTTTTTTGCTTAGTGACGTATTTTAACTAATGTTACAAATAAAAAATTGTAATGTTTCATTTAAGTAGTACCAAGCGATGTTATAATTTAATGCGTGCTTGGGTAAAACTCCGCAAGAAAATAACCATCTTTTGAAATCTTGTTCAAAGAAATCTTGCGAATAGTATAATAAAATGTTTGGTAAGCTAAAATTCAGTTGGATAAATACACTTGCAATACCTTTAAACGATTTTATTTATAGTTCCATGTCGCGTAATAAAACTAAATATGGTCTTAAAAATGATCCATGTAAAAAATGTTTTTTGAGGTAGCATTTACGCGTATTCAGTATGTGATTCAACATTAAACAATTTATCCAGCTCTAATCAATTTCTGTCTCTCGTTTCTTTGCTCACGTTCAACTGATGTCAGTAATACCTAGAATATAGTGCTACTGAAGTACTAGAAACGTGTTGTAGAATTATATTTCTTTTGTTATTTTCAAAACTTTGAAGTATGTAAAATGCTTTTCTATTTTTTATAACATAGTACATAATAAAGACTCGTAAAGACTCTTTTATCCTATATTGCTTACGGTTTAAAAATATTATTCACTCCAGTTTCATTGAAAGTTTAAATAATAATGTCTACAAACGGCTTGGTATACCTGACTTTTGAATATTTTCACATTCTCTAAACTTATAATTGCAAGTGACAACAAGCAATATCAAAAAAATCACCAGTTAGCAATCCATCAACTTATCTGACAGTTTGTTTATTAAAACATAGCTATCAAAAAAGTTTTTTTACATTAATTAAACCGAAGTACCAAGTAACTGTTCAACGAAACGTGTTTTAGCCCGTCTAATGTAAGCCTAATATTTTTGAAATTTCTCTGCTTTATTATAAAAAAGTTGTTTAAAATAAGCGAATTAAGTGAGAAGCGCAAAATAGCGGCGCAGAGATGATTAAAGAATGATTATCATTAAACTAAAGTGGACAACAAAAGCTTCCGCTCGTAAAACTGTCTATAAACGTTGTCAAAGTGCACGAGACAGTCGGCAAACAGATAAGAATAAGTAACGACGGCAAATTTAGTCCACGCAACAAAAGACCAATGAAAGAAAAGAAGAAAAAAATGTAACATTCGTAGATAAAAAACGTGGATCAAGCTTCTCCAACAGAGCAAATCAAGCGATCAATCAGCGAGTCGAGAGGACGACTCGAGGGAAGAACGTAATTAAACTTACAGGATGTCCCTGGGCAGAGTCATGTAGAGTATGTGCAGAAATCTACGGCGTCTCCAAGACAGCCAAATGCCAGCGAGCCCGAGGGCCAGGATCGAGCCCAGAATCTGGTGGACGAGCGTCATGGCACTGAGTCAACAGTGTCGCGACAAGCGCGAACAAAACTGAACGACTGCGTAGTCGAGCAGCAGATCAGAAGCAGAGAAGATAGAGAGAGAGACGAGCAACACACGTACAGCCCGTCCCTCGTCGATGTACCGAACTCAAAAAGCTTCACTCCTGTCGATCTTCCGATCGATCTGTTCGTTGATTTTTGGATATCACTCATAAATATGTAGTCCAGCTACTAGTGCAACTGGATCACGTACTTATGCCATTCGCGCTCAGAGTCTCAAACTTATACGAATAGCGTTTTATTTGAGTTCTCGCTGCACGTGTGTAAGTGCATAAATTACCACAGCGTGTAGCGGACGACAAGCGTGTACGGGACCCCCGGTATACCAAATACGCGATCAAACTGAAGGCCTATACTTACGGCCCGAACTGCTCGTCGTGCACATTCGTTCCAAACCCCTTCCTTCTTCCAGTGCCAGTGACGGCACACTATAATGTAGGTAAAGGTGTAGCGGCTCAAATCAGTTGTGCTGTTGGGCATTCGTTCTTATTGTAAATTGGGTATCAATGAGAAAAAATTTATAGGGGGGACAGGTTCCAATATTAGGAATCAGCATACACTTTTCAGAATTTTTCATCGCTTAACTTTCCATCTACGAAGTAAAGTAACGTCGGTAATCGTAATGTAAGCTCCAATGTGAAGTTGTATTTTCCTGTTCTCGTTTTAAAGAAAAAAAATGTACAAAAAAGTACTACGATAACGAAAAACTAGTACAAGAAAGCTCATGCAGTTTGGAACAGATTAGAATTTATCTCTAAGTATATGTATTAGCCATCGATCATCCAAATATACTAACCAAAATTTCAACGCATCAATTTCCTTATGCAATTTTTCGTACGCATTTACAGGTTATTAATAAATAATGACGAAGGGGGAAAAAATTGAATTATGTAACTGTTAAATTTTCCTCTAAACAAAAAGCAACGTGAAAATCGTTTTATCAAACATAGGAGAAACAATATGGTTCAGGAAGTATTTTGAAATTTTTTATTTGTGTTTTAGTAATTTTAATCCAATAGTGAGTTAAACACGATTTATACAATATGAGTGAAACGTTACAATCTCTACTAGAAGAAGTAAATTTAGATCCAGTAAAATTGGAAAATCTAATCCACGAAAGTTATTTATCCAAGCACGAAGCTTTTCGAAATTCGTTGATGATAAATTGATTAAAAAATGTATGAAGGTTTTATCAAATACTTGTTGAAATTGACCATTAGGATTAAACGATTCAAAAACTTGTGGTATCCGCTTTTTTAATTAACTTATATCACAATTATAGTACATAGAAATGTACAAGGTTCAACAGTACACAGTACAATATTTCGTAAAGAACAAAAAATTCTTACAAAATTTATTCATAAATAGCACATTACTTTATTAAATATTTTTCGATAATCGTCAATTTAAATACCTACAAGTTATTCAATATTAGTACATAGTTTAATCAGTACGGCACTTTCAACTATCCCGAATGTGTTTGATCCTTTTTTCTTTGCTGTGTATTTGAATTTTTTCATAGAGAATAACCTATGAATAAACAATTTTTGAATGACACCTTAAATACCTTAAAAATAAGTAATTGTTTTCAACGTATTTTCATTTTTTAAATCTATGATACTTTTTGCTTTTAAAATAAATAAAATTAACAGGAACAACTTGTCTCGTACCAAAAATACTATTTCCAACTTTTTTTCTAAACTTTAGACGTTTACTGCACCTCAATAGGACAAATAGAGTTCGCACCTGTTGCGCATCTAACCATGGCATTTACGCTTAATAGTACCTGGGAGAGCACCTTATTTTGTGAGTAAACATCCTATTCCACACAGTATCATACCCAAACTCCAGAGTATAGCAGAAAATTTGGTACTTTCACCTTTAAAATAAGGACATGTAAGTCAGTATTTTTATGGGATATAGGAAAAGTAGTAGACATAGAAATATTAGTATGTCCTTGCCAAGCAACTTTTTTCCTTACAAAAAATAATTTTTTCATAATTTATAGGTATTAGCTACAAATCTGCATTGATTGTAAAAAATTACGTATAGTTGAATTTGGGCATAGTATTTTGAAATAGTTAATTTCTTTTTTGACGCTGCTTAAATACTGTACCTGAAGAGGGCCGTACATACACAGCCAAAACGTTGTATTTTAATATTAATAAAAATAAACTGACAGCAGAGCTATTGAAATTGTTATTTAATATTTAATCACCTTGCTGTCATAAGCATCAGTTTCATTAAAAAATCAGTCTTTTTGCTAGATCATCTATAGTATTTATTAAAGGTATGTGTGTGGTAAACAAAATGTAGATTTCATCGAAATAAAACTTTTTGTACTATCCACTTTCATTTGAATTGCAATATTGATAATATAAAAGGTAAGAAGCATTAACAAAACTTGTTTAACTATTGTGATTTTTTGCTCTACTAAAAAATGTAGCAGTCGGACCATGGATGCAAAAATTCAATGTTTTACATTTTAGCTACTTGTAAAATGAGCATAAGCAAGAATCACCCCGATATTTTACAGGTTAAGTTAAATCGTAACTTAAAATCTTAAGAAAACCTTTTTACAAAGAAAAGCTATTTTCATCAGTAAAATTATGGATAACATCTCATAAGAATTATTCAACGATAATTAATGGTGGCAAAATTTTTGTGCTGTCTGCTCACGTCTGTTGAAATTTTGGTTTTGGGTGATAAATGATACTTTAAAATTGATGTTAATCATAACTAAACAATTTTTTTTTTTACCTTTCGCCATACAAAGAAATGTAGAGTAGAAACAATGTATTAGCAGAACCATTAAATAATTAATAGTATGTTATAATAAAACCTACCTATGTTGGAACTTTCTATATCTTTTTTTTAATTGAAAAAATTAGTAAAATCCCATACTTACGAATTAATACCACCAAAATTGAGTATTGTACAAAGTGCAAATATCAATTTTGACAAAAAAATTGTTAATAAATGTTTCAAATAGGTAAAAACAGTTATTCATGAGAAGTAAAAGTCTTTTTTTAATATTTGTAGAAAAAATTCTTATTAATGTATGATCTGTATGCGATTCTACTTTAACTAATTGAATTTACAATTTTCTATAGTAAAATAAATTTTCATAAAATTAAAATAAAAAAATCTATTTTTAACAATACAGTAATTTTTGTGAAATAAGTTTTTAAAAACTCCAAATTGTAATTTGTTATAATTATTTTTGCAAACTCTACATCTTGCTTGTCAAAGTTAACTAAAAGTTGATTTGCTTTTGTTATCTTAACAATAAGTCATGTAAAACTATTTACGCAATTGTATCTATACAATTATACATAAAAAAAATCATGTATTAAATGAACTTAACAATAAAACACTGAAAAATTCATAGATGATAAATGAGTATTGTCTTGAAAAAGACTAGGTGATAACATGATTCTCATTATAGGTACTGAGGTGTTTGGTTTGGAAATGAGTATGTGTGCAGTGGATGAAAAAAAGAAAATTCAAAAAATTTTCGAATAATAATTAAGTATTTTATTTCTTTAATAAAAAAATATATCTTTATGTAGTAAAATTATAAAATATACCACAGTATTGATTATCAATAATCAACGATCAACTTTTCTTAAATGTTACAATTTCTTACAACGTTAAATTTTGTTACAATTCTACTTATAACAAATTATCATTAATTGCATATTTAACAAACAGTAGCTTGTAAACAATGGGTTATAACTTCGCTGTTCAAGCATTAGTTATTCCCTCGTATATCTAATATTTTTTATTATAATTATCAGTCTTTAAAGCACAATGTTAACACAAAACAATCCCTAAAAAAGTATGTATTATAAAATTGTATGTTTTATAAGAGAAAATTTTTTTTATGAATCATTTTTAGGAAGATAAAATGCATAAAAAAAATTAGTTAACCTTTAAATGGCTATAATAATAAGATCTTCTAAAACAGTATTACCATACATAAAGAAATTCTCTATTTGACTAACTGAAATAATGAGGGAGCACAGTGGTTAGACGAATGCAACACCACTATGATATAACCTTGTTGTTGGTTAGGTCTTCACTGTCTTGCGTTAAGAGTACGCGATGATAATTGGCACTGAAAAATAACGTCAAATTAAAACAAATATCCAAGAAATTTTCAAATATTTTTTTATTGATATAAAATTTTATTTTATAGTATTTAATCAGAACTCTTATACGTTTATAAAACAACCAATCAGTTAGAAATAAATATTATTTAATGCTCTCATTACGAAAGCAATTAAAGAAGTTAAAGTATTTACTATCAAAATTATTGAAACAAATGGTGACAGATCTAAATTAATACAATTTCTTAAATTAATCATTTTTTAGTGATCTTACAAAGAATTTAAATTATAAATACATTTCATACGAAATTAAGGTTACAAAAAGTATAAAAGAATTTATAGCTAAGTACAATAACTTGTCATGATTTTTCTAAGTAATTACCTAAGTAACTTCCGTTCGTACAAATTGCTACCTGATTACTAGGTAAAGCGCCAACACATCCAGAACTGTAAATCATGTATAGATGCTAGTCATGAACTCTAAAAAACGTGTAGTTCTTTGGAGATGGTGCGAGTCTAAAGTTAAACACCAGTTTAATTCTAGGATATTGACAAATAGTTTAATAATTGTATGACTTTCTTGAATGGATATCTCTCTTATTAACAATACCTCTGAGTAAAATAGAAGATAATTTGCATAGAGTTACAACTGTCCATGATGTTTATGTAAACGCATACTATATGACGTTTTGTTCATTGAAATTTCAATAAAAGTATACGAAAACTGAAACCAACGATTTAAACATAATTCAAAAAACATGAAGAGAGTACACTAAAATTCCTATCTAAACTAAAAACATACTTATTAATCTAAGAACAAATAAGTTTAAAATTTTTTTCTGTTTATTAAAAAAAAATTAAATATTTTCAGTCAAGTCTCCAAGAATAGAATGTATAATAAAATAATACCAACAAGTTTATCACAGCATTAAAACTAGGAAAATATTCTACCAACAAGTAAGTAAAATGCCAAAAAGTTTTGAAATTGATCACGCAAGTTCCAAAACTTGTTAGATATAATAGAATAAGGGGTACCAACTGATTGATACTCTCACCAAGGAACAGAAAAAAATGATAGTAAGTCAGAATGAAAATTCTATGATGGCTACGAATGCAATAAATTAAAAGTATAAATCTGATTTTCTAGAAGCAAAGATTTTGGAGCAAAAATTCAACATATCAAAAAAAGAGCTTTTCTAAAGTGTTACAATTACTATTTTGTGTAACAGTATTGATAAATACTTAGTATTAATGTCTTTAATACAACTCATGAATAATTTTTCTTATAAACTTAGAATAGAATAATAACTTAGAAATTGAAAATTAGTGATTTGTTGGAAGGGAAGCGAAAAGTGATTCACAGCAAAATTTATTATTTTCTTTAAGTAATCTCCTTACTATTTACTTATTAACAATAGGAAGTGATTTAATTAAAAATGTATGATAAATATTTTTTGTTTAAAGTAAAAGTAGATTTAAGTGGTGATTAGAAATGTGTGCCTTGCTCTGCAAAATGATCAGTCATGAGACCTTAATTACAGTAAGTTACAAAAAGCTGTATAAGGAAACTCCTAGGTGTAGAATAACTTAACTGAATGGTAACGCTATAACTCGACTTGACTCAATAGTAGTTAATGAAGTGTATTAATATCAATGAACACATCTTTATACCGATATCGATGGTATATAATAAATTATTCAATATCAATATTACTATTGTTATTATATTATGCAATTATTATTAAGGCATTACGCAGCTATTTTCTTTCTGGAATCTGTGCTAAGAAATCTGTTCTTCTGTTTTTATACATATTATTTTTCAACTTGTATGTTTTCATACTTTTTCTCTTTTACTTACACCTAACAGACTTTTTTCTGTTTCTATTATATATCTCCATTTCTACTTTGATGCCATAAATTTAAAAGTTTGTTTTTCATATTTTTTAACTTATTTTCTACATCTTAATATATATCTTTATCATCAATTTCTAGTAAGATTAATCATTCAGTATTATTATGTATAAATATTTTAATTCGTTTTAATGTTTTCATATCAGTATTATTTCTTCAAGATTTGCTGTTCTATGGTTTCTAACTGTTTAAATAGTTACCTAACTTTTTTGTCTTACACACTATTAATGTAGTATTCATATAGTAGCTAAACCTTTTATGTCTCTCTCCATAATGGTATCTAATTAACACTCCATGTGCATTTTGTGAATTTATCTTCTTAGCTATGATATTTACTTTTATTTTTTATTTTATATGTACTAAAAAATTTTAGCTTGAACGGATTATTTTAATACAAAGTATATAACGCATAATTTATTTATTTATTAAAACGTTTTTGCTTTTGTAACTTTTTTTTCACTATTGTCTTTATTTTGTTGATTCCTCAAATAAAACTTCAGTTTTTTTTGTCATCATTTCTCAGTTGTATTGTCTCTTGCTTCCCATTTTTAAATCTTTATGCTATTAAATCTGATTTTTCTTTTTATTTCTTTCTATCTTTATTTTATGTCTAAAATTTCTGTCATTATGATGTATCTTTAAGTATTTGCAATTTCTTATCATTACCAGGAATTATTTCAAAGCAGACTATTTTAAGTCTAAACAACTTAATGCATCTGTTTTTGCATTAAAGGCTTAATTGATCTCACTTTTATGTAGTTAACACTTAGCATTTCTAGTATTTTGAAAAAACTTCCTTTCTATGCTTTTGTGTTATGCCCTTCCCTTAATTTTTATATTTTTATATTTTTTTTTTTTCACATTGATAAGTTTTTAATTAACTATATATCTTATGATTAACAATTAAGTTTTTAATGTAGTTCTATACTTTAATTCCTTTATTTTTTGTACTGGACATTTATGTCTTAGCTAACGTACATGTATACCTACAATTATAATTTTAATGTCTAGACAATTTTTTGAATTTTCGGATATGCATTTTTATTTTAAGATATAATGAAGACACTTTGTAAAGTATATGATCAATAACTCAAAATTGTTAAATAAAAGATACTATAATGCATATATATATATATACATGTAAGTGTACGGCTTTGCCTTCTGTCTGTTTCGTGTGCCAATTTGCAATGATCGAATGACATTTTTATAACATAAAAATACAAAAAGTAAACATTTACGCTGGAGTGTGAGTTCTTAATTAATAAAATCGTTTGGATTTTCAATTGATTCAATAAATAAAATACGCATAACTTATTGTACATTACAAGTTGAACAAACTGAAACAAGAAACATCATTTTGAAACATACGATAACACTATTTATTTAAAGTTTGATAAATCTATCACTGCGATAAGTTTAAAATTGTTACAAAATAATTTTTAAATTGCTAATAGTACTAAGGAAGCTATTTCTGTTATCTGCTTATTTTATTCAACCAATGTTTTAATCAATGTTCTTGTATACTTTTTACCATTAATAAACTCCATCTAGGATAATAAGCCCTGGAAAAGTGTTGAATCTCTTTTATTATAGATCTAGTAGAAATAATGGTACATTTCCGCCCTCGGGTGGTTTTGGGAGGCTGGTACTTCCTCGGGCGAAAAAGCAGTTTTCCGGAACTCGTTCGAAAAGTCTCCTTTACGAACCTCGTTACGTCCTTCGCCTTCGGCTCAGGCCGCAAACCTCTCGGTTCGCAAACAAAGACTTTTCAAACTCGTAGGAAAACTACCATTACGTCACTAGGGTACAAAATACAAACACGATCACCCGAAGGGCGCGCTTGTTTAAGGTTGGTGCCTGAGTCACGTATAATGTTTTTCTTACCAAGGGCGCAAAATTGCACTTTGCGCCCTTGGGCACACTTTGTGCCCAGTAAATCACTTTGGGCCCAGAGGGTGCAAAAAACTTTTCTGCCCGTAAGCCTAAAGTGACTAAAAGGGCGCAAAGTGTGACTCGAGGGCGCAAAGCAGTAGTTGCGTTTTGGGCCCATTGTAGGAAAATAAAATGATTCATTTTATCTAAAAAAAATTTTGAATAACCAGACAAGTGTCAAGTAGGGTATATCTCGACCTTATAATGCCAAAAATTAAAAACTCACAGCGAAATAATAACTCTGAAATAATTAAATTTTGAGTGTATTTTTGAGTATAATTATTCACCTAAATGATTATTCAAGAAGAATCCTGGAAATATAGTGTCAAAAATAAAATTAATATGTATTTAATCAGTGACCCTAGACAATTAAAGAAAAACGTTTCATGCAGATCATCAATTTATCAGTATATTACTCAAGAAAAACAATTTTATAAATTGGTTGAACTGGCATAGCGTCGTTGTTTCAAAAAAAAAAAAAAAATCACTAATCACCAAACCTTTTTTTTTTTTTTTTTAGATTTTAATATTATAAAAAAGTTTATCTTAAGAATAAAATAAAAAAAAAAGTTCATAGAGGTAGATCTAATTATTTGAGAAAAGGATTTTACGATTTAAAATTTTAACAATAGGCAGAATGTTACATGAACAATATTTCGGAAACAAATTTTTTGTTTTGGAATAATATTTTCGACAATTTCTTTCGTTTAAAAAAAAGTAGAGTAAGTATTATCAATATAGAAACTATATAACTGTTACTCTCCGAGTCGTTTTTTGTTAAGAAACTGAATTCTAAGATTTACTTAAATGATAATAAATCATCCAAGTTTTTACTACATGTTGGAAATGTTAAAATACATACGTTTTGTTTCTGTAAGATTTGAATTATTCATAATAATGTTATATTTATGCGACAATTTATTTTTAAATCATAATACATGATGCTTCTCAAGAAATTAGTAACATACTTACTTGGCGTAATAATGATACTTACTTTTTTTTCTTTTTTTTTGTTCAAATAATTTCTGTCCATTGAAAAAATTATCAACCCATGTTATTACCTTAGTAACGCTACTTACAACAGTATTAATAAATCTGACAGTAAAGACCATTAAAACTCTCGGATAGAAATTTTGAATAATTTTCATAAAGGCCTTCGAACCCC